CGTACAGAAGCTAAAAGATGAGGAAAAGAGAAGATAACTAAGTACAGACTTCTCTTATACCTGCTCGCTTCTGATCACATGTCTGTACAGAAAGCATATCACGTGGTCATAGACCACGTGATCTCCTTAACAGAGATCACGGGCGCAGCCCTTTACACAAGTAATGTGATCCAACAAAAATTCGGTACAGGTCATCCTGCATTTCCCCAGATACCCAGTGGCGCGGCGAACTCGGCCGCTAGTACCGGTAGAGAAAATGTCCGCCAAGTGTGGCTGAGTAACCATTGATGACGCAGACCAGCTCGGCGCCAACACCTCCACGAATCCGTTGACCAGAGCTACAACATCACCCGACGTCTCAACACTTCACTTTTACCCTCCAAATAATCTGCCGCATACTCTTCATCGGTTCCGCAGTACCATCGACCTATCCAACGCGTGACGAAATCACCATCAAACAGCAATTAACGCGCTTACCGTAACCACCTATTCGAAGCACGAATCGCATCACTTCGAATTGAATCGGCTCGAGTCCACGAAACGGACCGCCTTCCAAACAACGCGAAAGCGTCTACACAATCTACAACATCCAAAGCGCTACTCCAGCGCTCTTGTAACTCTCAACAATGTTCTTCTTCTTCACCTGCGGAACACACAGTACGCCCCTTCCCCTCCCCTCCCCCAATGTACCTCGTCACACAACTAACGCGAATGAAACAGCATTCACCTCTCCACTCAAAGGCGCAGAGGGTATCCAAGTGCAATGCCAAAACTGCGGCAACGGCAGGACGGCCGTCATGAAGCGCTGGGAGTGGTTTACATTCTGCTTCATACCCGTCATTCCGTTTTCGCTCAAACCGTACAAGGAAGTTGGATGCTCTACTTGTAACTTTTGGCAGGACATCAAGTATCGGCCGGATGTGCTGCAGGAGATGGACCGACGGCAGCACCAGGGGCAGGGGGGACCGCCGATTATGATGGGTGGGCAGGGACCGCCTCCACCGCATGGTGTACCTCAGGGCGTGCCGCAGTATAAGTAAAGGGGGTTGCTGAAGAGAGGAGAAGGTGTGTGGGTTGAGGACGTTTGGGAGTGCCACGTTGAAGCGCGAAGTAACGCATGATACCAGTTTTGGGGATACGGATGAAAGAGAAAGAAAGGAGAAAGGACCGTTACGATATCCCCAAGGTTATTCTTTGGAAGTTTTTTTTTGGAATTCCGGGACGGGGGCGTTTAGCGTTTATTCACCATCCTGATACCACGCATGTTTTTCTTGTCATGTCTTTTTTTCGTCTCTCTTCCAAACACACCCTGGATAAATAATACCATAATCTTTCATTCGCGCTGCCTCAGAAATACGGGTTCAATCTCTTTTTTTTCTCTGCTGCTCACAAAAAAAAACTCTTGCTTAAATGTACAGTTCACTCAAACAATGTACAATGTCTCCTCTTCATCCAAGGGAAGATTATATGTATCGGCATGATTCCCCGACACCTCCAGATGTCCAAAGCGTTCGTATGTAGTCTGCTTCTCTTCCCCCGTCTTGCGTAGCAGCAGACAATAAAAGGTAGTGATGTCACGTTCTTCTGAGAAAGGATACTGTGCCAAAACGACCGTCTTGACACACGTCTCTGGTCCCAGCGTTTTGCTCCGCGGCCTTGTCGGGTCAAATTCTGGTATCACACAATCGAGATGAACAGTGGCCCAACGACGGTTGTCGCATTTCCCCCAAGGAGGAGACGCTAAATCAACACGCGATAATATGTCCCCACGTGGATACGTTAGAGGCAGCCATGGCTCTTGCGCTGCGCGGGAGAAACAGCGGGCTCTCAGCGCAAGACTGGCGGATGCTATTTCTCCAAAGTCGTCAGTGCCCACTGGCTGTATATTTGCGGCGGTGCACGTTGCGCGGGCGTGGAGAAGGCGGTAGTCGATCCGGCCGTCCCAATATACCTCATCTGCGACAGAAGCCCAAGACCAGGATGGCGCACGCCATGTTTGGGGCCGCCAGTGGGGTCCGCCATAAGTTACCCATAACAAATCGAACATCAGTGTGTTTTCCCACAAACCAGCTAGATAGCGGGATTTGGTATACGTGGAGAACATCTTGCTTATGCCTTGCAAGGCAGGAAAGATATCTATTTCATACGTAAGGCGTTGATGAGTGTATTGCTCCACGATCTTGTGCCATGTTAACGGGATACGTCTGTAGGGGTAACCATTGTTGAATTGCAGCTCGTTGTTCAGCCAGAAAAGACTACACACGTTTGAGTATGGGACGTGGCAGGGTGGGATGGAGCATTCGCAGTCATTCTTGGTCTTGCAATCCCAGACAAGCTCTTCGTGCGCGAAATACAGAACCCGGGGAGAAAGCAGTCGTTCTTGCAATGTCCATCCGCGAGGTAACAAGGGCGCTCTGCCGTTGACCCAGCTGGTGTTCTTTATTCTTGGTCGGACACAGAGGTCTAACTTTGACCCGTTTTCGTCCGGGTATGGGAGACGGAAGAGAGGACGTTCGGCGCTGTGACGGAAACAGCCACCTGATGAATCTCGAGATGCTGCAGCAGCGAGTGTAATGTAAGCACCAGAATATATTTGAGCCATTTTGCTTCCTTCGCGGCGCCAGTCATCGATATCGTCTTGGATAATGCACAGCGAGTCGATCCAGAGATACTTTAAGCCAAGGCGATAGGCAAAGGACACGGCATGCCGGAATGTGAGAGGGAGCTGAGCCCACCTGATTTGCTGCTTGTGGAGCGAGAGATTAGATGTAGTCGTCCTAATGATATGTCTCTTGCCCCAGCAGTGACTTAGACAGGTATAGGGCTCGGTCTCTCCGTTACTTTCATGAAGCCTGATATCCTGTGGTCCTTGGATGAGGACGACACGAGACGGCAGAGGTAAATTAGTGCGCTTGCACGATTGATGTGTCTCGTCGCAAGCCCGTAGCCAGGACAGCGTGCGTCTAATGGCATGACTAGATCCAGAATATGATGCGACTTCAAGTTCTGGGGGAAGGTACGGTATCTTCCAAGGATTTTGTTGCACTAAAGAAATCAGCATCCGTCATCACGCTATGGTTACGTTTGGACGTACTGTACGGAGAGTACGCCTCATAACTAATGTTCATATTCGATGTAGCTAGGATTCGTGAATGCTCCATTTTGAACTGCATACTTTTGATAGGATACGTCTCATTAGGAGGCTCTGTATATTCAATCAAAGATGCAATGGCACATAGAATCATGCAGCCAGCACAGCCTGCTTTAGCAGACGACGATAACTTGTCGATTGGAAGTTCTACACCCTTGGCCGGCCACACAAAGCTCTTGCATAACGCGCATTCTTTTGCCTTTGCATATGCATCTTTGATCTTCTGTCCACGCGATCCGCCTTTTATATTGCTATCTGCGTCCCACCACGGGGGTGGTCTCCACGGAGGTGTCCACCATGACGGCAGGATTGGATCCCAAGACGACATGGTGTTGCTGATCAAGTGGGAACTCACTCGGCTTGGTTGTGCAGAAATGGAGAGAGACAGAGAGTGGATTGATGCGAATGTGGCTGAGAAAGAGAACGTGGGGTATTGAGAACGTGAAGTTTACTGCTTCTGAAAATTGGGGGCCAAAAACCACATGTGCTGAGGCGGACAAATCTCTTGCTCAAAGAAAGGTGGAGTCTCAGGCATCCTGTGTTAGATGGAGGTAGTTCAGACTGATGATGAGAAGCAATCGAGGTAACAGCCTTGCAGTGCATGTTAGTCTGTAGTACTGGAGGCTACTGACATTAGAGCGATGTGCACTGCGCCGGGCCTGCACCAAGTAGATGGATCACATTCTTGCAGCTTTCCAAGAGCTGGAACGGCAATGAGGGAGAATGAATGAGTGTGCAAGCCACCAGGAATAGATGGAGTATAGGATGAGTGTTTGTGAGGTGAAGGTTGAGGTTACGGCGCACCATCGGAAAGATGGCAGTGTTTGTGGCACGTGCGCCTGCTTTCTCCGTGAGGGGTCCGCGGCAGCGACGACCGTAGAGGAGGCGAAATGTTTATCGGCTATGAAGCCAAGCTTGAGTGCAGAGATATTCTGGCCGAATTTGAAACAGAGCGTCTCCGGTCTTGAGAGAGGTGCCCGGCCCCGTCGCGCATGCGCAGGACGGCGCCGGCAGTATCGAGGGGGCCCCGTTGGGCGGGGACCCGAAGACGAGTGGCAGAAGTCGACGCCCATTATAGTGGTGGATGAATATGGAGTAGGTAGGATATAAAGACCAAAGGGTGCAAACAAGATACAAGGACAAGCATTCAAGTACAGTATTGAAATCCTCATCACAAAGCGTTTGAATCAGAGCCCAGAAAGTCATCATGTTTGAGAAGAAGGAACTCCAGCCTACGTTTGAGGGTATGTGTCACGTGTGCAGTGAAGTGACTCTATAGCTAACTGGGTGCAGAGGTCATGGGCTGTCAATCGGCATGCTACGAATGGGCAGACAGCTACGACAGCAAGGACTGGGATCGTTTGCGCAAGTGCGTTGCTCCGACGCTGAAGATTGACTACCGGTCCTTCTTGGACAAGATGTGGGAGGCGATGCCAGCGGATGAGTTTGTGGCCATGGCCTCTGACCCTGCGGTGCTTGGCAACCCCCTCCTCAAGACACAGCACTTCATCGGCGGAACACGGTGGGAGAAGACGGCCGAGGATGAGATTACGGGATACCACCAGCTGCGAGTGCCTCACCAGCGATACACGGATGAGTCGCGGACGACGGTGGCGGTCAAGGGCCACGCCCACAGCTTCAATACGCACTGGTACAAGAAGATTGACGGCGAGTGGAAGTTTGCCGGGCTGAACCCGGACATTAGGTGGTACGAGTATGACTTTGACAAGGTGTTTGCAGAGGGCCGCGAGCAGCTGGGCGAGGCCAAGGCTGCTGCTGGCATCCCGGAGACGGCGCCTGGCCAGGCTGTGTAGATGCATATGGGCATCGATAGATACATACATGTACAAGTATGTAATGGCGAGCGCCATGGTAGATGTGTGGATATAATGCGAATCATGATGAAATGCAATGGATCATGGGTGAGGTGGCTCCTTCCTGTGCTGGTGCATAGATACGAGATGGTGATGTGTACTACGTATGTGTGTATGTAAGTGTTTGCAGGTAGAGAAAGAGGGGCGTGCGGGATCCTTGGGCCAAGGGCCAGGCCAGGCCAGGCCAGGTCCCTGTCGACGAGGTTGCTGGATACAGACATGGGCGGAGCAATAGACGTTTACGTATACGTAGGCACATTTGTGGAATGGATGAGCTGGATGGGTCCACCGACGCAGACAGGGAGAAGGCGGCTGTGCCATGTCTCTGTCAGCTTGGGTGGGAGAGAGGTGCAGCTGTTAGCCCCGGCGAGCGGTGAGGGGCGTCGGCCATTTGGTGCAGAGGGACGGCGCTTTGTTTTGGCTGGGTAGTGGGAGGAGTCGGAGTCGGGGGAGGAGGAGTAATGAGTATGTATGTGTATGTAAGTAATCTACTACTCTGTACCCACATGGCATAATATGTAGTATGCACATGTGCATACATAGATACAAAGGATGAGTGCACAGCGCAGCACCGCGCCCCGCACTCGGCCATGTCTGTCCCATGGCGCTGCGCGTCATTGAGCAGTGGCAGCGGCGCAGCGGCCAGGGGTGGGCCCAACGACCAGCTCAGCTAAAGTCAGCAGTTGACGCACAGGAGATCGTTAATTCCGACCTTGCCTGGGCGTGCAATGGCGTTGCAGCCAATCTGCGCCCTGGTAGAGGGCGTTGCAGCCGTGCTGAGCCACCAAGGCCCGCCATCCTTGTATCGATCTCCAAAGCTTGTGTCTGCCCGATCCAGCAAATCGTGGCGCCATCCTCTGCTCTCTAACCCCCCAGCTTCGTCTCTGCGCGTCGCTACCGAGCGCCGTAAACTTAGCGGATTCGCTCGGCAGCACATCATCTGCGCTCTTTGCTCTTTTACCCCACCCACCTTTCTTCTCACACACATCTTTCCCCCCCTCCCCTCTCCCACTCTCGTCGCCGTCTTCTTCTCTGCTTCCCTTGCGTTCTGGTGTTTGGATTCGACCTGTTTCTCCCGTCCACCTCCGTCCTCTGTGTCCTTGAGTCTTTGCCGCAGGTAAGCCCATCTCCCCCTCCCAAACAGCACAATTTTCATCTCTCGCCTTGGCGCGCCTCCGCCCACCCGCCCCCCAACTGTGCCTGCTGCATATCGACAATGCACGCAGAATTGTCCACACGCAATTGCCAGCGCTTCGTCGTGTGTGCGCATCCAGCCCGCTGACGTCGTCGGCCTGCACGGACTCGTTCGCATCGCAAACCAGCCCGCTGCCCGCTGAGGGCCCAGTTGCAAGCGCAATTGCCCCATCGCCGTCGTCGTCGCCCCCCCGCTGCCGCCGTTGGGGTCGCAGTGGTGGTCGTCGTGTCGTGACCCAACCAACGAGACGAGCCTCATGTCCGCCCCCGCCCCCCCCCCATGTCATCCATCGCGTCGGGCCATCCTGCACACAATACTGACTGGCCCGCACAGATTGCAATTCGAGCCTCCTCACGGTCACTCATTCACTGTCGTCACCCGCACAGTCCCTGGTGCTCAATCCCGAGTTACTGTCGCCGCTTGTTCCGAGTGTCTCTTAGCTTACTAGGCTCCTTCCTTGGCCGAGCTGCCTTTGCGCCTGAGCCCGACGTCAGCGCCCACTTCACACCTTCACAGGCTACGTTTCCCTTACTGCGACACCAGGAGCATCGTTCCCAGTGGTGAGTGTACGCGCGCCTAGGGCCCTTGCCCGATCCGTCCCTGCCCTACCCTGCCCAGCCTTGCCTTGCCCTGCACTCACCTCGCTCCCGCTGCCTGGCTTACTTACCCGCCCATTCACCGACGCTAACCATTGCTTTTCGCGCGCAGACATATAAACGACTCCTACACTTCTCAATCATAATTAGAGCGCCCTACCCTTACTCCCCACCTCCGCTAGTCCATCCGACTACCCCGCTTGATCTATTCAGCATGTCTTTCAACAACGGTTACAACGACCAGTTCCAGGGCCCACCCCAGGGCGACATGAACAACCCCACCCCACAGCCGGGCGACATGGGCCAACCCATGGACACCTCCGGCAACGGCTTCCCACCCCAGGGCAACATGGGCCCTCCAGGCAGCGCTGGCGGCGATGGTCAAGGCCAGGGTGCCGGAAAGACGACTCTCTGGTGAGTCCACACATGCGTCCCCCATGCTGCGCACGCCATGTGCAATGTGGCCAACGCTCGCCTCAGCGCCACATGGCATGTAGCAAAATACGTTATGCTAACAATGGCACAGGATGGGTGAGCTCGAACCCTGGATTGACGAGAACTTTGTCCGCAGCATCTGGTACAACATGGGTGAGACAGTCAATGTCAAGATGATCCGTGACAAGTTCTCCGGGTAAGCACACAATCCCACTCTAGAAAGCCACCAGGCTAACTACCGCATAGCAGCAATGCTGGATATTGCTTCGTCGACTTTGCAAGCCCTGACGCTGCGGCCAAGGCCCTGAACCTTAACGGACAACTGATCCCAAACTCAAACCGTCCATTCAAGCTCAACTGGGCCTCTGGTGGCGGTCTCGCTGATAGGAGGCAAGTCATGTCTAGTCTCTCACATACACACTGCGATGATCTCTAACACTAAAAGAATAGCCGCGACGAGCGTGGTCCCGAGTTCAGCATCTTCGTCGGAGACTTGGGCCCCGAAGTTACCGAATTCGTCCTTGTCCAGTTGTTCCAGAACAAGTATCCCTCGACCAAGTCGGCAAAGATCATGTCGGACCCCATCAGTGGCATGTCCCGTGGATATGGATTCGTGCGATTCGCCAGCGAGGAAGACCAGCAAAAGGCTCTGACTGAGATGCAAGGCGTTTACTGCGGCAACCGCCCCATGCGTATTTCTACTGCGACACCAAAGAACAAGAGCGGTGGCCCAGGCGGCCCTGGCGGAATGGGTATGCCCCAGGGTGCGGGCGGCCCCGGCATGGGCATGTACTCGATGGGTGCTCCCCCAATGGGTAACTACTATGGCGCTCCCCAGCCCATGAACCAGTTCACTGATCCCAACAACACTACCGTCTTCGTCGGCGGTCTCTCGGGTTATGTTACCGAGGACGAGCTACGCTCTTTCTTCCAAGGTTTCGGCGAAATCACCTATGTCAAGATTCCTCCAGGCAAGGGATGTGGCTTCGTCCAGTTCGTGCAGCGCCATGCCGCAGAAATGGCTATCAACCAGATGCAAGGTTACCCAATCGGCAACTCTCGCGTGCGTCTTAGCTGGGGCCGCTCTCAGAACAACTCTGGACCAGCCGGCACCCCATACCGCCCTGCGCCACCTCCACCAGTGCCCTTTGGCCCTGGCATGGGCATGCCCCCGCAACACCCCTACGGCGGTGGTGGCGGCGGTTACGGTCCTATGATGAAGGTAAGGCGACAGCATGTCTTGAGGACTGGATAAAAATGCAAACGCCTTCTCGGCAGTTGAGCATTGTCTCCTACCTCAATCTCCCCTCTTCTATGCCGCTACCAGTTACTGACTTTCCTATAGTAAGCGCATTCTTTCCCTCTGTATTGCTTGCACGGCGCTTCATTCGTGGTTCATCCCGTTGGCTTTACTGCAACGACCCCTTTCATGACTCGGCAACGACGATTTCGAGCGATTTGGTCTTTAGTTCTATAACGGGCGGTACTCTAAAAGTTCTCGACTTTCTCTGACGACACCATCTTGCTGGAGGGCCATAGAGGGGAGTCTTTGTATAACAGGCCATCCATTCTCCCACTCGGACTTTTCTTTCAGAGCGTGCTACTCTTCTTTCGGGGAGCATCTATGGGATGTAGCTAGTCATGCATGGGTCGGGTGCTGCTTTCTGTCGAATGCCTTTCTTTTACCGGTTGCGCTCTGTGACCAGCAGATTGGCTATCCTTCCAATCACACGATTCTTCTATTTTCTGCGTGGTTTTTTGCGTGCTTGCTTACTTGCTTACTTGTTTGATTCATCTAACGGTCTGGTTCCAAGTGCATCATAGTTGGTTTTCTTTGTTCGTGCGCGTATGTAGAGTTTGGCTGGCGTGCGTATGATTTGTTGCCTTGTCAGAGCTCAGGGAGCATTTCACTAACCTTGCTGTGCGCAGTCCTCCCACGCAGGCGTCGCTGCCTCCACCTTATTCATCCATCGCGAACAATAGCTATGCTGGCTCACAACACGACAGTCAGAACGCCCCTACTCTTCAGAGCGGCGCGGCAAACGGTCTCCAATCCGGCCTCGGTGGCTTCACTCGTTTCACACCGCCCCAATCGAACGATCCAAACGGTTCCTTTTCGTAGCAGTTCCCTTTCTGCTTTGGCCCGCCAGCCAGGCCATGTCGGCCAGATGTGCATATAGTAATACTTGATGGTTTAGCAAGGAGTTAAAAGGGGGGAGCACTTACTATAATGTCGGTGTACATGGCTTTCAGATATGGGACTAGGTTGTTTTAGCAAGGCGTTTGGCGAATACCAAAACAGCGGATACCCATGTTACGAAAGGAGGAGGTTCCTCCAACAATCTAATGTCTCTTACATCAGGGAATAATTCTACTCTGAAAGCGTTTTATTTTTTTAACGATACGTGTTCTATGGGTAACGTATCTGTTGCCTTGCAACGGTTGTTCGGTAATCAGACAGCTGCTTGACAAAAACGGGACTGACAGACATGCTTGTTTCGGTATGTTAGCAGGATACATCTTTCTATTGCTCAACTCATCATCACTGTATTCCAATCGAAATCAAGACGCATTTGTCTCCTTGGTCGGCATCGTCATGGTTATCAATGTCCGTGATATCCAGAAGTCCATGGGTTAGTCACCATGTGACGTGTGATAAGTCTGACCATTCGTACCTTCCCATGAGGCTCCTCAGGCGTGCCCGCCATTACCCAGCCTTCAACTCGTCAACATGCCTCTTCTCCCCGTCTCATACATTCCCGCTCCAGCACAACTACCGGTTGCTTGCTACTCTCTTGGATCTGAACAGCAGCAATCACACGCCGATCATGCGCTACGATGATTGGGATGTGATTCTCTTCCCCCGAAACTCCCATGTTCCGATTCAGGAGTTCAAGACCGCTTGCTTTGTCTCACAAGTGGAGTGTGAGTTGCACCTCTATCTAGTCTCTTTTAGGCCGGCTCACTATCACTTGGGGTAAATTACACTGACACACCACAGACGGGCGCCAACTGCCGACATTGACCTGCTTCATCACCTCGCTACCACCCTCGACACCATTTCGTATCTCACTTCATTCATGGCGTACAACCTTGAAAGCCTCGGCGCTCCTCGAATCCCAACGCAAAGGCAACCAAAAGATAGTGTTCGCCGTCCAGGTCATTGTGGGCGAGGCTAGACTCTTGTAATCCTGAAGCATATGCTGCCGAGTGAGAGTGACACCTACTGACCGGCTCAGTCACGGCTTCTTCGACTTGAATACGAAATGGCCTCAAGAGATTGGTAAGCGATTCAGAGCAAAAATTGGGTAAAACGAGATCTGACTACTGTGGAGCCTACGAGAAGAGGTCGCTCGCCTTCAATGATTTACCTTCGAGCCAGCGAAAACGGCCTCTCGAGTTCCCTCCGTTCCACAATCTTACGCTCACGAATAACATTTGGGATGCCCGTGACCCATATGGGCGCATACGAGTCGTGCTTTCAGAGCAGCTGATGAGCAAGACGCAAAGTCCTGGGAGTTCAGACTTTGGTACTGCCAACGAGCTCGTTTGCTTCTCATTTCAGCATGCACCAAAAGGTATGTTTCGAAATACTAGAACCATATGGTATGTTATGTTCAAGCAACGCAGATATCCTCCAGCAGGCCGGAATCTCGTGGCCGATCTCGAACCCACTCTACCTCCCCGATGCGTTTAACCGGGACAGCCAGTACTCTCGGCCATCTCCAACAACTTCATGGACCCCTGATGTGCATCCTTTTAGAGGGAACATGCACATGCAAACTCCGCAGTTGCACAATGCACAACCCGCATTCAATGGTTCGAATGACACCGAGCCCAAGAGACACTCCAACGTGCACCTGCCACCTGTTCCACATTTTCCAAGGCAATTTGTTGCTCCCACTAGTCACAATCATCGTGCAACCACGTGGGATGACGCATTCAGCACGCTCAATTCCACTACCGACACCACCAGTATAGATGGCTGGTCAGAAAAGAGGAAGACATCCGCGTCGTCCGATCACCCCGTGCTGAATTACATGTACGACTCACACACATCCACCAATGGTCTGCCATGGATGAGAAATATGTCTCAGCATATTCAGAGTGACAGTATAGATTGGGATGAATACTCAAAAACCCGAAAAGAGAAGCAATTTGTCGTTGCGCTTCGAGATGACCAGTTGGGCCAGATAATCGACGCAATAAGCCCACCAAAGCATAACCGTGAGATTTCTTGGACACCTGGTGGGCCATTCCATCAGTCTACTAGTCAACAAGCCGCTCACGCTTACTATCCCCCAAAATTTGGAACTGCTCCGCCGACCAAACGTCCGTCTGGAGTTCTGGCTCGCAAATCGTCGTATCAAGATTCTAGCAGTGTCTTACGAAATGTCTCAAACAAGTCGTCGTCGCATAAACATTACTCCCAAGAAGACGGGAAAGACAGAATGTCTACAAGGCCACGCTCGTCTATTCCAAATAACAAGGAGGATATTGGGCCGTCGCAATTGCGATTGCCAACGCCGTTTCCCCAGGCCAATCGTGTTCCAACTCCGAACCCTTTTGCTCAGGGGCAACCAGCAACCATTTCAGAATTAGCAATGAGAGGCTGGCCCTCAACTCAGGCAAGCGCGCATCGTGTCAACCGAAGCGAGGCGCCACAGTCAGCCACAGAAATCGGCATGCTCGGCTCGGCTCATGAGCCATCAAACTTTCATTTCAGGAGCAGAAAGGAGGACTTGGTGTCTGATTCACCAAAGCTGTCTGAACAAGCGGCTCGGCAAGATGAGTGTTTGATGCCAATAGCCAATGCGGATTCTGAAATGGAACAAAGCTTCGTTCAAAAAGCACAGGGTAATTCCACTCAGGACGATCGAAAGGTTATATCTGGACTAGTGGAAATCATCGACATCGATGCTGTCGATGCCGTCGACCCCAGCTTAGACGCGAATCCGGCAGTGGATACCAGCAAACTCTCGCCTTTCAAACCCAGCCACAAGTCTCGCATTTCGCAATCAAGCATCGATAGCACTGGTCGTCTAGAGAGACAGTTGTTCAGTGCTCTGGGCGAGGAACTTGGGAGTTTCGACCATCATCATCACCACCAGATCGATACCACGGATATGGGACCTGAGCTTATGCATGCTCTGGGTGGTGGTACGAGGACAAACTCTGAGCTCAGCGGTTCCGCAATACTCGGCTTGACGACGAGTAACTTTGAGCCGGCTGTCAAACGGAAGAGACAAGGTATGCTGGGCGGAGGCAGTAATGGCAGTCCGATGAGTAAGAAGGAGAAGGTTGATGGGGTAGAAAGCAAGGAACAGAGGGAGGTAGTGGTCAGTATGAGAGGAGACTGATGGTATTCGAGGTAGTGTCATGACCGTTTTGCCTTTTGGGGCATTTTTGGGGGGAGGGCTTGGTGGACTTGTGGCCTTGGTAGTGTTTTTTTTTTCTGGAATAGGATATAGGTATTTATTAGGTTGTAATTGACAACAATGAAAAAAGGAGGCAGAGAGAGGAAAGCCATTGGGGCTAGAAGAGTAGATTGTTTACGGACAAGTAGAAGTAAAGCTGCAGTGGTTTTTTGAACGATACAGCGCTGCTATTTCGAATACACGTACAAAATTCTTTTGGTCAAGTATAAACATTGCAAGATCGTACTTTGAATTGAGGAAAAGTATATGTCAAAGGGAAAGCACGAATAGTTCCAATTTGACAAGCATGGTTACGTTATCCAACGATTTATACAAAGATACAACAAAAATCCAATCTTTTTTTTAGAAGAAAAAGAGAGAAAGAGATCAATAAACAAAATAGCCCTGCGTCAAGGGCAACGTCTCCGCCGGCTCTGCCACACAAACCATGCCATCAGCCTCCACTGTATAACTCTCCGGATCAACCTTCATCTTGGGCCTCGTATCATTGAACTTCATATCGCGCTTACCAATGTTCCTGCAATTCTTGACTGCTTCGACGCGCTTGCGCAGGCCGTACGAGTGCACAACGCCCGAGGCGATGGAGGCTTGGGAGACGAAAGTTATGCTGGAGGCGGGGACGAGCGGGGCAAACATTGGGCGCATAATGCGGGGTTCGACCATGGGGATGGATCCGTTGGGATCGCCCTGGATTATGTTAGTGATGTTGTTGTTGTTGTTGTTGTTGTTTGTAGAGGAGGAGGGGAGTAGTTACCATGACGGCGTATGAACAGAATCCGCTCTTTACAATCAAATTTGGTTTTACGCCAAAGTTGTTTGGAGTCCAGAGGACGAGATCGGCGAGTTTGCCTACTTCGACGCTGCCGATGAGATGGCCCATGCCCTGGGCAATGGCTGGATTGACTGTGTACTTGCTGATGTATCGTTTGACGCGGAAGTTGTCTGCGTCGGTGCCCTCGTCTTCCTTGAGTGTACCGCGCTGCACCTTGTTCTTGTGTGCTGTGTTCCAGGTGCGGAGAATGACTTCGCCGCAACGGCCCATAGCTTGTGAGTCCGAAGACATCATTGAGATGGCGCCGAGGTCGTGGAGTACGTCTTCTGCGGCAATCGTCTCGGCTCGGATACGCGACTCGGCGAAGGCTACGTCCTCGGGAATGTTGCGGGAGAGATGATGGCAGACCATGAGCATGTCGAGGTGCTCGTCCAGCGTGTTGCGGGTATATGGCCGGGTAGGGTTGGTTGAGGAGGGCAGCACGTTGTCATGTTCAACCACACTGATGATATCTGGAGCATGTCCTCCGCCGGCACCCTCGGTATGGTATGTGTGAATCGTTCGGCCCTTAATCGCCGCGATAGTAGACTCAACAAAACCAGATTCGTTCAGCGTGTCGGTATGGATCAGTGTTTGTATGTCGTATTCATCGCAGACTTGTAAGCAAGCATCAATAGCTGCAGGCGTACTTCCCCAATCCTCGTGCAGTTTGAGACCGCAAACGCCGGCCTCGGCTTGCTGTTGCAGTGGACGAAGCTCAGAATCATTTCCTTTACCCGTAATTCCGTAGTTGAGAGGAAGCTCATCAATGGCCTGAAGCATCTGTTTGATGTGCGTCTTACCAGGCGTACATGTTGTTGCGTTCGAGCCAGTACTGGGTCCTGTACCGCCTCCGAGCATTGTTGTGATTCCAGATGCTATAGCCTCTTCCGCCTGCTGGGGGCAAATCAAGTGAATGTGTGTGTCAATACCGCCCGCTGTCACAATCTTGTGCTCGCCAGCTATGACATCGGTGCAGGCTCCGACCACCAGCCTAGGGTCTACGCCGTCCATAACGTCCGGGTTGCCTGCTTTGCCAATGCCAACAATCATGCCGTCTTTGATTCCAATGTCGGCTTTGTAGATACCGGACCAATCGACGATGAGGGCATTGGTGATGACTGTATCTAAAGACTCCTTGTCTGATCGCCCACCAGCCTGACCCATGCCCTCACGCAGCGTCTTACCTCCTCCGAATGCACATTCGTCGCCATATACAGTCATGTCCTTTTCTACCTTGATCCACAGATCTGTAGCGCCTAGCCTCACCAAGTCGCCAGTTGTCGGACCAAACATTGAGATGTAGACTTGTCGCTCCATGGTACAAATGTCAATATGGGCAGCATCGCCATGGGGCTCAGGCTCGTGAAGAAAACCTCCAGCCTGTAACTTCTCTACGATAGTGTTGGCGACGGACAGGTCTCCAATGAAGCCTGAAGCAATCTGGTTTCCACCCTTGATGATCTGGTTCCCGCCGATTTGAACAAGAGTGACGGTCCTCGTGTCACCAGGCTCAAAGCGTACCGAGGTGCCGGCGGGAATGTCAAGTCGGTAGCCGTGCGCTCGAACGCGGTCGAATTGCAGCTGAGGGTTTGTCTCGATAAAGTGATAGTGCGATCCGACCTGTCGTCGTGAGTCGCGTGTTCTGTATTCCCATGTGACGGTCTTGACGTACCTGAATTGGCCGGTCTCCCACGCTCTTTACCTTGAGTTTTATTCTCTTGCGCCCCTCGTTCAGTTTGATGAGTCCGCTCTCTCCCTTGACAGCGACTATTGCGCCTGGTTGCTTGGTGTCATCGTACACGCTGGGATCGGGCAGAGGGAACAATTCATTAGAGGGAATAGGGAGAAAGGAGCCATATAGCGCCTTTTCGAGGTCTCCATCTTCGGTAGAGATGGGGTGATGGACGGTAACAAGATAGGTGCCTGTGGGGAAGGTGCCTTCGACCATCAACTCTACGAGCGATGAGACAACTGCAGGCTGTACATGGCGGCGACCCAACATGGTCTTGCCAATGGACATGAGATCGGCGACAGTATGGTTGCCATCGCGAATAAGCTATAGGCGTTCAGCATGGGAGTGGGGGTGTGCGTGCAGTCAGTGGAGGGGCTCGTACTTCGTGGAGATTGTTTGCAATCAATGCCTGCAGCCGTTAGCAGAGGGCGTGCGAAGGTGTCTTGGACGTACAGCAGCTTCAGCGTGATTCAACTTGACGCCCCGTGCCAGGCGACGCTGGGCAAGCAGGCCGAGCTGGGATATGACGAGCTTGTCAAGCTGTCACGACATTGTTAGCAAGCTTCGGTGAGGTACTAGCAGTCATGGCAGCCAGTGACACACCTCCTTGGGACACAGCTGCATGATGCCTATTCACAAGCCAAGTACAGTAATTACGTATGTGTCGTTCGGCGTAGTAGGAGAATACAAGGCCCCACCAGATTCCTTTTCCCAAGCCCACCCTCTACCCTACTAGTACTTCCCTTTCCCTTGAGCAGCCTCGCAGGCTTCACCGTTTGGGGCAGATTGCGGGGGCCGCTTACGATAAGGACCCGCCCGCTGCCGATAGCGAGCCTCTGTCGTGGTCACCCGCACCCGACGACCTCAACTATAACCCGACAAGCACTCACATGGCCATATAAGCATAACGCCATGCCATGTGCCCCGTTTCTATGGCTAAGACCATCGCGGCTCAAGCCAGGCTGATCAAGATCAAAGCCCACGAGGTGCTGACCATGCCAGGCGTTGATACAATACCATGCCCGTGACACACCTCATGCGGTCCGCTCCAGTATCCTTTGCCTTGATCGCACATTGCTCGATCAACCCTCACGTCCAGAGCCATGGCTGCTATAACAACATGACAGCCCCCGACTGCATATCCTCTATTCCAAGCCTAGGCAACATGTATGCATGACCCAAGTACCACGCCACAGAGGACCACCCCTAGCCACCCTTCTACACGCCACCTGAGATGCACTCGCTCATCAAGCATCTCAAACCGGACAAGGCAGACGAGGAGCCTCGCCAAGCACAATCAGATGCACCCGTCAAAAGAAGCAGAGCGCCGGCCAAGCCTCCATCAAACGATCCCAACATCCCGAAGAAGCGCCTTCATCTCAACCAAATATGCCTCTACGAACGCCGTCTGCCCGGAAGAGCGTACGTCTCTGCTCATGTAAACCGCTTGCAGCACGGCTTCTACAGGTCCGATGTCCTCCACGGAGCCGCCATCAACCAGGTCTACTTTGTCTCTGTCCGTTTCGTCTTTCATCCACATGATCCGGAATCGCATCGCTTCAGGAGTGCCGAGATTCAAGTAAGCCTGCACGGCGAAGACCCCAGCTCCGGCTCCAACAAACGGCCCGGGCGCTCGCAACCGCGCATCCTGAAGCACGCTCCAGAGCTCATGTTTGGTGCTGTATCCCCAGAGAACCTCCAGTGGAATTTCAGCCTTTCAACTTCATTGGGCGTGTCTCCGGCATCCCCCGTCGGTGCATATATAATACCGCAAGCATCTGTGCAAAGCAGCTACAAGGTCTATCACATGATGAGTATCCAAGGTTCAGTGCGGTCAAGGCAAGACGGGTCGGGGCAGACGATTGAGGACTCCAAAGCCGTCTGGACGCTCAGCGAGAACGTGCTCCAGAAATCAGGGTTGCCGCGTGAGTTTGATTTTGTGATGCTTGTGCAGAAGCCAAAGGATGTTAAGAACATATACATGACGGTCAATGTAGATGCCAGCGTAGCAACTTGGTATGGTGCATATCCCCAATGGTACAACAACCTCTCCGAGTACATGCCATCGCAAAACTTTGCTGTCAGCTTCGAACATGACGTTGGCCAGCGGTTTCTTCCCAGCCACCCTGGGCTTGGCTACAACTTTGCGGATCTGATACACTCGCTGGATCAGTATGTCATGATGCCAGGGACTATTTATCCGACGACTGTAAGTTGGCTTGACCATAGGAAATATGCCACAAGCTGACTGTATCAGGGTACAAACCAAGCAGAGTCCAACCCCAACCAAACTCACAGGCGGCCACTGGAGGAGAACAAAGCCAATGAGCCGGACCGTCCACCTTCTCGCTCCAAGCGGCGTCCTAGGTCCCCGGGTGAATATCAATCGCCTATGCAAGACTCAAGCCAGCGAGAAAGACGGAACTGGACACCTGAGCATATTGATGTTCGACTTGTTGTCGACCACCGATTTCCTCGAAGCCCTGATCCACGACGCTTTTCATATTCACCCCCGCATGTTGTGGAAGCAAGGCGACATCCGTCAATACGACGCAGAAAGTCACGGATACGCCTGAAGGAGTATGGCGAAGCAGAATTTAAAAGGACTTATACTCGGTGATGCAGAGACTGGAGGAAGTAGGACACGCGCTGGAGGAGCAGCTATAATAAAGACCTGGTCACGTGGAAAGTACATGTATATGTGCGCATGTGGCCCGATAGACATAACAATCGATTCGTCAGCCAATGCTCCGTGTGTGCATCTAATATCCGATTACAAGAGACCAATGGGCCGATATCAGGATAGGGGAATGGTGCGTGACCTGGTGATGATCCGATGCGGGCGAACATGCAGTTTGCAGGTGGCTACTGGCTCGCTTACGTGCCTTGAATAGAAGCAGTTCCGTCAGTTGGGTGGCGCCGGCTTGTCACAGGACGAGGCAGCAGGTCGGCAGTGGCTGATTGGATCTGTGACAGCTGCCGGCGCCCGGTTGTGCGGGTTGGAAACGAGATGATGGAGACTAGCAGGATTCAGCGCAAGGGATCCAGTGGTTGAGGATGCCCGATGGCCGTGTCTGCGGTCTCCGGGCTGAGGGAAGCTGGGGCGTGTGAGTGGCTGGCGAGTAGTCTGCGCTAGGCCGGGGTCGAGTAGTCGACGACCATCCACGACGCGGCGTTGCTCTCTCTTCGTACCCAACAGCCTTGTACTTGTAATGAACAATGACACCTACCGTGGATGCAGTGGAAATCCGTCGTCTGCTGAGATGACGACTGCCCGGAGCCCGCCCCTAAGTGTCTAGGGCTGACGGCCCCGTTGTGCAAATGTTGCTCCCAATCGTGTTTTGTCGCGTCTTCCTTCCCCAGGTACCCGGTACTACTACCACGGCGTCGTGCCTTCCTCGTCTCTCGCTCTCCAGGTCGTCGTGCAACGCTCTTTCCTCCTCGCCTTCGCCCTCGCCCTCTTCCCCTCTCTAGCAACCACTTGTAGTCTTTCTTCTTTCCTATTGACCCTGAATTTAATGCTCCCGTCTTCCCTCGCCTTTGCTGCTGAACGTTCGTCCTAAATCTTCGCTTCCTCTGACGTCGCTCTATTCTACGTACATACGCTTCACATCAGCACAGCATAATAAGAAGATCGTAGGCAGAAACAGGTGGTACTACACTCCCATCTTGGACCAGACAAAGGATAAGTTCCAAGACTTAGTCCTTTTCGGTACGGTGACTAGGTTTACGTTCGAAGGCAATTGAGGTTAGTCAGGCACTACATGTGTGACGGAGAATATGCAGGACTGATAAGATACCCAGAGTCTTCGGTGCTGATTACTGCAACCCATTGCCATGGCGTAGGTTCCGCCATGGGTTCGCTGGCGCTTTCATCAAGTTCGATATCTAAGACAAACGACCGATCAAGCGCCCATAAGCCTTCGCGACAATAATAGCAGTGCAAGTTCGTCGTTGGGGAAAGCCTGCCTAAACAGAATTCCCGTGTTGTCAAACACATTTCCCAAAAGCTGAATATGGCGACCTTCTACCCCCATTCACAGTCGCCGTGGGCTTCTGATCGGGCTTCACCGCGGCTGCACGCTGGCAATCCTATGACGCCGATTCACTCCCCGCAACACTCACTCACATCAACAGTCTCCTCACGGACCCCAATTCACACACTCACTATTCACGAATACCGCAAACAACAGCAAACGCCTACGCTAGCCCGGAAAGAAACACCACCGCCAGGCAAAACTCTACGGAGGAAACCTGCAGCGCCTGCACTGAGCGATATTGAGCGTGCTGTTTCGGTGCCACCCTCGAATTGGCCAGGCCCTGGGCTTTCACAACGCTCTCTTCACTTTTCGCAATCAGCACATCAACTGAAACCGACTTTGCATGCTTTTCACCAACAGACACGACCCGACCTACCATTTCGAGCGCAGTCGACTGAACCTCGCCAGCAGAAAGGTAGCATATCAAGTCTATCCACCACCAGCTCCTCTAGTAAGGTACGTTACTTCAACTCGAGAAAGAGGTTGCCGCGACCGCCTGCCACCACAGGTTTGGTTGCATTCCCCCCCTCCCCTGTGGACGTAGAGTCTTCACAAACACTACCACCCCCTCCGGCTACGCCGAGCCTGTCTACAGAGCGCACACGTTGGAGTGACGCACAAACAACAAAAACACATTCGTCATCTTCGCTATCGCGATTCCCACAGCCACCTCACCGAGCGGACTCGTCACCCTCTCCATCGCTAGACGAAAGAGAGTCTGTCCATGTGAACCCACAAAGTTTCGCAGCTACCAAGCCTGTAACGCCACCCACAACACCTGCAACCATTCACTACCGGGGTGCCTCGTTCGATCTGGTAAACCCCCGCAACTCCCTATTACTGCACGATATCGTCACTCCCTCACGAGACTTCGACTCAAGTGACTACTTCCCTGTGCCCACTTCCGACGACGCTTTTGCAGAGGTACGAGATTTTCAATGTTTCTTGAAATTTGGCTTACCAGAGTACAAGATGGCTCCCAAGCGCGCTGTGTATGGAGATTTCCATGCAGCGCACGCAGGTATTCTAAGACGTCCCTCAGAGTCTCCCAGCCAGTCAAATGCGGATCTTCCGGCTCCTCCAACGCCCGCAGCTCTCAGCCCGAACTCTTCTTCGTATACGTCTCCCATGTACAGCCCGGACTCTGCTGATATACCCTCTCCTTTGTTTATGAAGACGCCTGCACGTGAATCGCGCTTCTCTCTCAAGGGTCTGACTCGCAGCTTGACACAGCGACTGAGCAAAGCACCATTAAAGCCCCAAGAGGAGGAGCTACAGGAAGTTCACAATCGGAAAGTGAGTACAGAGACAATGAGCATGGACTTGGAGTTTCCACGATCTCTTCGACCACACATCTCCATCCCCGAGACGTCTTATGACCCAGTCGATCCAATGTCTCCCGTGACACCTCTTGGCCCAATGTCGCCTGATGGCTTTCCAGCCTTCTCTCCGGGACAGGATGAGGCTGAGCTGCCACGGAAGTACTCGATAGAACGATATGAGACACAGCCGCTTTCATCAATGTTACCAGACGACCACGCCACAAAATCAGAGCCAAGGCCCACCTTACAGTTACCATATTCGGAGGAAAGTGGTTTGACCAAACCCTACTATGATGAAATGGAATCGATATATCCAAGCTCGTCTATCTACACTAGAGATGATCGTCGCGCGTCAAGCTACCAGCAGGGCCTTATGAGCAATCGCAGCAACAACGCCAATTCATTGGAGCGTGGAACACAACAATCTGCATTGCAAGAAGTCGACAATGGCTACCCAGAACGATTATTGTTCACTCATCCTCCAGGTTTGCCTCCGCAAGAGGTGCTACCACTCGCGCCGGCTTTTGAGTATAATGAATCTCCCTTCGTCCCTTCGACTTTGGGGTTTTCTGGAATAACTTCCGACGAATCGGCCAACTCTTATGGAGATACACGCGATCTTCTCCATGTCTCTCGCTACGAAAACCCTATACAGCCTAATCTAACGCAGCCCCTGGTGCATTCTTTAGGATACTCTCAGCCAAAGATCAACCCTCTCGGGCCCTCCTCGTCGTACTCACAACCGGAGGCTGATGGTCCCAATACACCCAAGGAAGCTCTGTATCAAGCTGAACAAATCTTCCAAGATACAGCGAACCAACAAAAGATTGACAACAAGATTCCAGCCATCTGGTCTAGACGCAACTCGGGCAGCCAGCTGCTAAACAGAACAGTCACCAATAGATCTTTGGATGATGACGAGCCAGTCGCTGTGGAAGAGCGAGATGACTGGGAGACAGTCGGTGGCAACAGTAGAGACTCAAAAGATCACGGGTCGCTCGACAGTATCGCAGACTATAGCAGTGATGAGGAAACACGCAAAAGCGTGGGATTGGATTCGGATGGTTCACTCCCATCTTGGGTAAAACAACCTCAGTCACCAGCTCGATCAAACTATTACAATCACCCAAGTCCGATCCTCACTCAGCACTCACATCCTTTCAGGTCGTCGCCTCCTGAATTGAATATCCGCTCAGACAGGCGCACTACGCCCAACACTTCTTCCTCTCCGTTACCCGCTCGGCCGGCGAATCTGTATGCCTTTGGTGAAAAAGAGACGCAAGAACTATTGGCTTCTGGTCCTAATGAGAACATCATCATCGATGAGCCGTCAGCAGCACATGCCCCTCAATCGGACGTGTCTAGAAATCAAGACCCTGCATACATGTCAAGCGCTCCGAGCGGTCCCGTCGGTCAAGGACGGCAAACCATGCTCGAGAAGCTCTCAATTGTCGGTTCAAAAAGCAAGTCCACCAGCACTCCTCACGAAACCAGTAATTGTAAGACAATCAGGAGTGTTACAAGCACTAGCAGTTCCGGTTTGAGACAAAGTTCGACTGTTGGTCGACAAAGCTCTCGTTCCGACTACACTGGGTTTTATGCATCGCCATTTCCGGCTACTGGGAGCGTCACGCGGATAAGCCAGCGTCAATCAACCCATGGGCCAAAGCATAGCCGGGCATCATCTGAAATGACTCTCTTCCCCAGTTCAAAGGCATTGAGACAAGCGCAAGAGACCTATTCACCTCTTGATGGTTGTCGGGACCTCCGGAACTCGACCACTTTTGTACGAAATCAACGTCGCACCAGTCGGTCCGCTGTACCAGGTCAGACAAAACTACGGGAAATGTTCCTATCTCCTGAAGCTCGATCAACTTCATCAACAAAACGTACTCATATTACACACTTTGTAGGTGGTGATCGCCCGTCCACTAGCGACACGAACACACCTCTGCATCGTTCATTCCCCAGCCTTGAGATTTACCCAGCTACCTCTCGAAGCACCATTGGCTACATACACTCGCCTCACCTGCTCTGTGTAGAACGTAAGGTCAATCCGGAAGATGAGGAAAGAAGGCGTAAGCTTTCGTGGATGATATTCGCGGCGTTTTGCGTACTTCCACCAGCCATCATCCTCTTTCGCTACATGGGAGACAGCGTCATCGCTTCAATGACCGACGGTCATCTTGGTCACTGCACGCCATATTCGAAGAGGATGGCGCTTATTGCTGGCATCGCAGTTAATATTAGCCTTGTCATTGCGGTGATTGTGCCAGTGTTGGTTGTGCATGCGCTGAGCGCTGCATGAGGGGCGGTGTGGGAACCAAGAGGGCGTAAGTAAGGAACGTTGTTGCAAGACTCGAACAGGAATTGACAAATAGCAGCATTGAGGCCAACTGGCAACACACTGAAGGGTTCTGCTGAATTCGAGCATAACACTTCAATACTCTGGAGAGCACTTTCAGTCGCAATCGCCATGCAGCTGCTAGTGTATACCCTTTTCTTCAAAAGTCATATCTTTATTTTCTTTTCTCTATTTTGTATTACATAACCAGGGTTTCATGTACTCTCAAGACATGCCAAACCAGACTCTCACTTTCTTTCTCTCTCCTATGTCTGGGTTTGATGGTTGCATAATTGATGGCTGGGTAATAGCTTTTGAGGCAATATGGGAGTTCTTTTTTTTTCACCGGGCTCTGTATCAGAAAGTCGTCGGGCTTTGGTCACTTGACTTGTCCGGTTTCGAGTAGGAACTTGGACTTTAGGTGTACGTTTTTCTTTTTTCTTTTCTTGAAAAGCGTGTATAGGGTGCATGGGGACGCATTCGAGGGTAGAAACAAGAGCCGTCTTGTTTGACTTGGTCCGCACTGAGGGGAAGCTGCTACACTTTGTCAATGGGACTGATCTCTCATGATTCTTGATGGAAGTCATCAAGCACTTTTACTTTATTTCTGGTGTATTGTCGTCAAAGTAGAGTCATGTGGTTTTTTTCTATCTCTCCCTGTATTCACTTGATGACGTCACTTCTAGAGCCAAAGTCATACAAACATATACTTTTCAATATTTTACATTGATTCATTCATCTATATTCCAACGGCTTCATCTAGAGCCGATATTATCGCTAAAAAAAAAGAAATGCATAATCAACTAACAACTCTAGATCTTCGACTCGTTGGTCAAATCCGCAATCTGCAGAACCGCCTTGCCAAAGTTCTTTCCCTCGAGCATACCCAGGAATCCCTCAATCGCATTGTCAATACCCTCGGTAACGCTGATTTGCGCCTTAAAGGTACCGTCCGCGAGCCACTTCTGCAGCTTCTCCTGGTGCTCCTTGGCGTGCTTGGGGCCCATGTTTGCGTCGCCGACGATGAAGCCGCGCATGGTGATGCGCTTGGTGACGATGTTCATGAGGTTGCGGATGGGGTAGAGTTCGTCTGGCTTGGCGTTGTACTGGGAGATCATGCCGCAGGCGATGATGCGGCCGAAGGTGTTCATGGCGTTGATGGCGGCCTCGAGTTGCTCGCCGCCGACGTTTTCGTAGTAAATGTCGATGCCGTTGGGGGCGAGGCGGGCGAGGGCGTCGGCGGGCTTTTCCTTCTTGTAGTTGAAGCCGTCGTCGAACTTCAGGTCGTTCTTGATGAAGTCGAGCTTCTTGTCGTCGCCGACGCTGCCGATGACGGTTAGGCCCTCGTGCTTGGCGAGTTGGCCGACGAGCTGGCCGACGGCGCCGGAGGCGGCGGAGATGAAGATGGTTTCGCCCTTCTTGGGCTGGCCGATCTCGTAGAAGGAGGACCAGGCGGTTAGACCGGGCATACCCAGGGGACCGAGGAAGAACTTGGGGTCCAGGTTGTAGGGGTTCTCGAGCTTCTTGCAGATGTCAACGGCGGCCTTGTCGAGAACGGAGTACTCCTCAATGGGGGTGACGCCCATGGTAATCAGAGTTTCGCCCTCGCTGAACTTTTGGTTGTTGGACTTGACGACCTTGAAGATGGAGCGGTTGGTCATGGGCTTGCCCAGCTCAAAGGGAGGAGAGTATGACTTTGTTCCGGCAGGACGCATGCGTCCACGCTGGTAAGGGTCGAACGAGGCATAGAAGTTCTTGACAATGATAGAGCCCTCGGGCAGGTCCTGGTTGAGGTCGATTGGGCGGTCTTCAACAGCAATATCCTCGCCAGGCTTTGGCCAGCCCTCAGGCACCTTCTTGAAAATGAGACCCTTGTTCTGAATCATGGTGAAAGTTTGGTTGTTACTAGTCGTGTGATGCAATGTATCGAATGAAAATGAAAACAAAATCTAGACTGGGTATCAAAAAAGAATAGAGGTTGTTGTGGCAAGAGACTGAAACTGGATTATGAGTTCGAAAAAAAGGGCAGCAACGAGCACCTATATAGTGACCAGTGGAACGGTAATACCAAGCAAACAAATGATTTCACGGCCGAAAAAAAAAGATCCTTCTTGCATCATCTGGATCTGTAATCCAGGGCCCGCTGGAGTCGGGGAGCATGCCCGTGCACAAACAGGGCATTTTTCGGGCAGTAATCGGCAAGTGGCGCAACCTAGTCTTCGCTGTGCAAGGAAGGTGTCTCGATATGGAGGGATGAGACTTGTCGGAGTTGCAGAATCTTCAAGACAGCAGAGGAAGACACGAAGCCATGACGAGCGTCGCGCCGGGGAAATACCGGCTTAGGAAAGGTGCCCGTCGAGAGGGTAGGGCTGATGAGCCGAGGCAAGTGGGGCAGTGATTGGTAATGGAGGGGTTAAGGGAGATGGGACCCTCTCTTCTCCTATCCACAAACCCAGCGGTGAGTGCGAGTGCGAGTGTCACAACAAAGTTCTGATCATGCAGAAGGCTTAGCAACACCTTATCTCCTCGAACATCCAATAAGCCAGACCAGAGGTGGTGGAGCTGACAGCGCCTGCAGTGAGCCGATGGCGCTTGCTTGGTCCGCGTGGGTACACATGCGGTACAACTCACAATCCAAGATGGGCAAACTGTTCGCCCGACATTTGATCAAACTTGTAGTACGACGCATGTATGGTATTTGCATTTTACATACATACGCACGTCCATGATTCTATCATTCATGCCTGTAGTGCTTCAACCCTGGACCAGCCACGGTCCCTTAACACAAGATGGATACGACAAGAGCGTTGTCAAGTTATGCGACTAGTCATCATCATCATCCTCCTCCTTACTATCAACGAAGAAATCCCCGTCACTTTCTTCCTCCTCAGGCTGCATGATATTCTCGATAAGCCTGAGAGTAGCCCTCAGTGGCAGTCCCACCACATTGTCGTAGGAACCCTCTATGCGTTCGATAAGCACCGAACCAGCCGTCTGGATGCCATATCCGCCTGCCTTGTCGTTTCCGTCGCGTGTTCTTACATATGCAAGAATGAGCTCATCCGTCACTATCAATTGTCAGCCATACCGCTTATGAATCTCTCAAGGGAGGGTGGCTTACCGTTAGGATCGAATCTGACGGTCGTTTCCTCAATGTGCGTCTTCATAGCATAGCCCGGGACTACGCACGACTCCAGCGGCCGCATTACCACCACGGCCGTCATGACCTTGTGCTCGCCCTGATCTCTCAGCATCTTCAGCATGCCTATGTGATGTGCCTCGCTCCGTGGCTTCTCCAGTATCCGCCCGTCATGCGAGACTATGATGGTATCTGCCGAAATGACAATTGCCGGCTCGCCGCGTTCTTCGTTGTTGAGTTCGGCTTTGTAGACGTCGAGCGCTTTGGCGGAGGCGGTTTCAAGCACATAGTTCAGCGCGCCCATGGAATGGTCGAGGTTCTCGGCAAACTGCGAAGGACATACATCGACCTTGGTCAGGCCAAGCTACTTTCATGTCAGCACATTCGTTGCATGCGTGCGAGGTGGCGGGCGCCTGGGTACATACCTGCGCAAGCAGCTGTCTCCTTCTTGGTGATTTGCTTGCAAGGACGACCCTGGACCCCCTCAGTTGGTTCAGCGCGGGTAAGCTGAGCGGCGGCGGAGGGCCGGGAGGCGGTCTTTTGCCTGGCGCTACACCCGAGGCTGATCGGTTGTGGGAAAGAGGCGATTTGCGTGCATCTTCGTACGAGGGTGGAGGATCCGATGGGAGTAGTGGTTCCTTGGCGTCCATTGTAGCGATATGACAATCAATAGCGACTGCAGTCTGAAACAAAGCGTACGTAGAGTATAAGAAATGGTCTAATGCATGTGCGGAGGACAATTATGCGGTGTTGGGTGGCTGGTAATGTCTGTTGTTTGTGTTGCTATCAACGAGTCCGGGAAGTTGAGAGGCCCCGGCCCAAGCTTCCTGCCTCAACATTGACGGTAGGTGCAGCGCAGATCTGCTTTACATCTGCTTTTCCTTTGCAACAGTAGTAGCGTATGTTACATTCGCGATTCCTCGGAATGTACAATAAACCGTCACCAGACACTTGTGTTGTCTTACAAGAGCTGTTGTTCAGGGGCATCGCAGTCGTGCTTGGCACAGGATGGCACCTCGCATTATCTTGCAAGACTAGAGTCGACAAACATCTCTACGAGCCTTATCTACACCCCGAGATAAATGGCAATCTGCATCTATCGTACAAAAAGAAAATTCCATATTTGGCCTCTGACATTTTTTGTTGGGGAGCCGACATGATTTGGGTAAAAAAGCACGAGCAATCTTTTTTTGGCGACTCAGTACTACCGATCTACTAGTTATGAGCTTAAAAAACCGTGGCAACGGTTTTTGAGGGCTAACCAAATGTTTACACACTGTATCCCTGGTTAGATATATCGCTCTTAGACTAGAATACCAGCCTGCGCCTTGCATTCTCTTTGTTAGCGGATGCTAAAAATTAAAATTATCTCGTGTTCAACCGCAGCCATACTGCTTACATCGTATACAAGATGCTAGACCTGTTTGGGTAAGCATCTTACCAGGATAAAAGGGGCTGGTACAATTTCAAAGTACTACATTCTTTCTTCGACAAACTTGCGATCGACGCGTTCTGCGCTTTACACTCGCTTCTTTTCTTTTCTCTTCTCTTCTAATAGGAGCCTTTTGCTTTGAATCGGGAAGCGCTGTTTGCGACAAACTAGCTACAATGGCGAGCAAAAAGTACGATGATGATGATATTGAGATGAACAACGTAGACCAGGACACGAGTGAAAGGGAAGCCTTCCTACAGAAGCCTGCAGCACCTGCCGCGGAAGAAAACACAGGCGGTCTCATCTCGCAGCTTGAAAATCATTCCGCAGCTGCCGTGCTGGCCTACTGCTTTTCCTCAATCAGCATGACAGTCGTGAACAAGTATGTCGTCTCCGGCTCGTCGTGGAACCTCAACTTTCTCTATCTAGCCATTCAGGTGTGTAGTCCCCGGCCTCATAGCGACCAAGTTCTTGATGCTACTCCAAAAAGTAAAGATGCACGATTGCTGACAGCCATGTGATTAGGCTGTCATTTGCACGGCTGCAATCCTCGTTCTGAAGCAGATGGGCATGATTCCCAACCTTGTTGCTGTGGAAAGCAGCAAGGCCAAGAAATGTATGTATCTGCAAACATGTTAACGTCGAGTCTACAATCACTTGTCCTCTACTAACACCGCACCAGGGCTCCCCGTGTCCTTGTTCTTCGTCGGCATGATCTACACCAGCACCAAGGCCCTCCAATTTCTTTCCGTCCCCGTCTACACAATCTTCAAGAATCTAACCATTGTCGTCATTGCCTATGGCGAAGTCTTGTGGTTCGGCGGCAAAGTAACTCCCTTGCTCCTTCTGTCCTTTGGCCTCATGGTACTCAGCTCCATCATTGCCGCTTGGGCCGATATCCAAGTCGTCCTTCACAGCGGCGCTGGAGACAAGACGCAGACGGCAGATGACGCCATGTCAACCCTAAACGCAGGTTACATCTGGATGGCTCTCAACATCATCTGCAGTGCCTCTTATGTCCTGGGCACGCGCAAGTACATTACCTCGCTACAGTTCAAAGACTGGGATAGTAAGTCTCTCAACCCTATACGTCCCTATTCCTTGCACTTAGTCATTTTTTTGCTTGTTTTTGTTTTTGTTTTTGTTTTTAGGAAACAATCCAATCTAATCAAACGCTCTTCCAACAGCAATGTACTACAACAACCTGCTCTCCCTGCCCATTCTCCTCGCCTGCTCTTTCATCACCGAAGACTACTCTTCAGCCAATCTCTCGCGCAACTTCCCCATGGAAACGCGCACCAACCTCATCGTCGGCATGATTTACTCTGGCCTAGGCGCAATCTTCATCTCCTACTCGTCTGCATGGTGCATCCGCAAAACGTCATCGACGACGTATTCGTTTGTAGGCTACCTGAACAAGCTACCGCTTGCGATTAGTGGCATTGTCTTCTTCGGCGCTCCGGTGACATTTGGTAGTGTGACGGCGATCTTGCTGGGCTTCTTTAGTGGCCTTGTGTACGGCTACGGCAAGGTGCAGATGAAGAAGGAGCAACCGACTCTGCCAACGTCGCAAAAATAAGCCTTTCGTTTTTTTTTAAACTAGGACTACATGTTACATGCCCCCGGTTGCATAAAAAAACGCTGTAATCAAAACATGAATGCACAATTTTGTTTCCAACGGTCGAACCCTTGAATGACCTCATTTATTTGATTCCCGCCCAGGACAAAACATTCTTCATGCTCTAAAAACAAAACAACGGGTCCACTTCGTGTATGAGCGTGGCAATCGGCCCTATCAAAGCCGGTTGACCCTCGTCATTATGCGCATGGCCCCTGACTCGGAAATGAACCAAACTTCACAAAAACGACGTAATACAGTGGCAACACGTCGGAATTTTGTACTCGATGCGGTAGTTGAATGTATGTAGTACTACGTGTATTGCACAGAATCAAAACAAGTCGAGTTTGGCACAGTTTGGAGCCTGCTGATATTTATAGCAGCTCTTTGTAGTATCTCATGTTCCGGTAGCTACATATGTACTAGTCTGCATACTACGTGTCAATGCTAAATAAGGATACGGTACTGCGCTTGGAAAGTCCAGCCCGAAAAAGGAAACTGGAATCATATATCCACGTTAACATGGTAATGCATCCCAACCAATGCTGTGCTTCAAGAACGATTGTAAGCCTGCAATAGAGCCATGAGCTCTCTTGTTTCTTCGGCTGTAAGAATCTGTCCTTGCTCAGGGGGAGCGGCCGGTGACGACTAATCATCCGACTTCATCTCTACATCGCGTTTCTCTGTTTCTTTTTCCCCCACTACAGTGCCCTCTTTGGACTCTTCACTACATCCCTTGGCATCATCATTCTCTGCTCCTCCTTGGCTTGAGTCTTTGTCCTTGGATGAAGAGGGCTCTGGGGTTTTGCGATCAAGACTTGGCCTCCCAACAGCACCCTCAATATTGAGCTTGCCATCTTGCTGGGGCCCTGTGTCTTCCATTCCGATAATCTCTGGACCACGGGCATGCGGAACTTCCTCCTCACCCTCAACTGTCTCCATGATGGAAGGCCCACCTTGAACGTCGCCAAAGGTAGTCTTTGCCGAGTTGGTGGCTATGCTGTGGGGGTTGTTGAGCACGATTCCAGCCTCTTGTTCCTGACGTAGCAGTTCGCCCTGGGTGACTGGGCCAGTAGACGGCAGGGTCTCACCATCGGGGTGTGACGAGGCAATCTGGGCTACGTTTGTAGGATTCTCTGATTGTGCAGTGTTAGCCAGCATGCCTACAGTCACGGTCTCTATCCGGCCTGCACCATTGGGTCCGTCGACCATCTCTGTGCTCTCTGAGATCAACTCGTTCTGCCCTCGGTTTTGCAACCAAGGAATGGGAGTTAGCAAGGCGCCGCCTAGCGATTCGTCAGAACCGAGGGGCGCTGGTTGGGGCGTGGTGCTGGATGTGGCTCCATTGAGCAGGCCGCTCGCAGTAGGCAGAACAGCTTGTGGGAGTGGGAAGACGGTGAGGGGCGAGGACACGGAGACGACACGGTCGAGAGCGCGTAGGTAAGGTGGGAGGAATCGGTAGCGCTTCTTGGGCTCAAGTATGAGTTCGGCTAGGCGCTGGATGGTGTGCGGGGGGTGCTTTGGAAAGTTCTTGGCGAGGGTGGTACGTATTGCCGAGTAGAAGGTGTTGATGTCTGCTGGGATACCTTGAGGCTCGGTTGCTGCGGAGAAGGAGGGCACGGGCGGGCGGGGAGGAGTCGCCGGTGGGGCATTTTCTTTGTCGGTGGCATGCGAGTCTTGACTGGAAAGAGCGTTGGAGGTGCCTGGGCGCGAGGGCAGGTCTGTGATTGCAGATGCGGGCGGGTTTGGGGTGATATCCGTAGGTGGCTTGGGGAATTCTGCGACAATCTAGGGAGCGGGTTAGCGGCGAGTGCCTTTGTGGCAGTGGCAGTGGTAGCGGTGGTGGTGGTACCTCGTCTAGGCGCTGGAGTATATACTGCAGCGTGGCAGGCCACTCTGCTCTGGAGTCGGGCACGCGTTAGCTGGGCCAATGCGCCTGTAACGCTGGGGAGGGGGACTTACGAGTCGAGCGAGCCATGTTCGGCTGCCTGCTGGAGGATGGACTCGGCTGTGGGAGGGTGAGCGGGTCGAGTGTTGCGGTGGGCGTACAGCGTATAGACTCACCGGAGGGCATGCCGGGCAGGGCGAGGTGGCTTCGGAATGCTGTATAGCGACAGTGGAGTGCTCTCTGAACGCGACGACACGGCTGTTGTCGCGGGGGTTTGTCGGCGATGCCGAGACGCAGACCCTGGGCAGTGCGCGTCGTTGATGATGCAAACGCTTCTAGGGCAATTGGCCAGCGCCGGGCTCAACGCCTATCTTGTCTGTTCATGTTGGGGCTCTGGGGCTGGGGGGAGCAGAATGACGGCAGATTGCAGGCTATTCTTGTCTGCGGCTGGCCAATGGGCGGTGTGGCTGGAGCTGTGCCAAGCAGCGGGCGGTGCAGCGAGCGGGAGGCGCAGTCCGAGTGGGCAACACGTGCCTTGTGCAGCGCCTGTGCCGTGTGCCTGGTGAGCCAAAAGGGCCGCTGGTCAAAATGAAAAAGCTTCGTCCGCCCACGGTGCCGACTCTCTCCTTTGCCCCCTCATGTCCAATATCTCCGCCAGACCGTGTGTTATATTAGAGACTCCAAAGTCAAATGCGCACGCCCAGCCCCAAGCCCCTCGCAAGGTCCTAGCAGCGCTGCACCTGCACCGTCGCCAACAACCCGCTCCCGGCTAGCGGCTCCCACGGCGACCAGACCCCGTCAGCCTTCCCAGTCGTCGTCTCCACATCTACCTGCACATACGCCTGGCCGGCCTACCAAGCGCTACTTTCGCTCTGCTGCACCACCCCATCATCTCCATTGCCTAGCCCATCTCCATCATCTCCGTCCTGTTCCATCCTTTTTGTTCCTGCCGTTCGCTCTTCGTCTCTGCCACCTCACCACGCCCTCGCAGCCCACCCCAGCCCGTCGCTTGCTTTCCCTCTCCTGCTGCCGCCCACCTGTCACGCCTACTTGCTTACTCGTCGTCTTCGGCCTCTCCGCACAGCCAAGCCCTGCCTAGTTTCAGCGACGCGCGCCCGCCCCGTCCACACCCAGACGCCCCCAAACTAAAGCGACTCGTCTGGTTTCACCTCGTCTTTCAGTGCGCACACAGCGTCTCACCTGTCCCCGGCAGCCCTACAAACCGCCTGCCGCCTCTATCCTCACCTGCCACAGTTCGTCTGTGCCCGAAAAGCAAGTCTCTCCCCGCCAAACACGCCTATATCCACACGCTTTCAGCCGCCGCCTGCGGCTGATACCACGGCCAAAATTACTCACCACGAAGCCCGCACATCCCTCCTAGGAGGCCAGCCTCTCAGCCGCAACTACCCACCCTACGCTAACACCACATACCAACAACCTTATCAACAACCGCCCAACCTGGATACCCAGCCTGGAGGCTACCACCATCGTGAGGGCTTCCCCACGACACTACCGCCGCCCGTCCGACGTCCACCCAGAATGTACATTCCCAATACGCGCTGGACCTGGGCCTTCATGCTCACGGCCATTGCCCAGGTCTCCATCGCCCTTGCCCTAGAATCGTGCGCCCTTTGCCCCCTTACCCCATCCTCAGCCGCACTCAACTAACACAACCTCAGCTATGTCTTTGGCAAATTCCAAAACGAAATCCACTTCGCCGCCGAAGGCGCTGGTGCAAACGAAACGCGCACCATCCCCACGTTCCTTGCCGTCTTCATGTTTGGTTACATCTACCAACTCTTCCTCACATGGGACGCCTTGCGCCTCAAGAACACCATCCAAGTCATCGGCCTCGTTCTCTACAACATTGGTATCCTCGTCTACGCCGGTATCCAGTTCGACCAGATCAAGGATGCAGCCGACGACCTCAACGACAGCGCCTTCATTCCCGCCTTCTTCTGGGCAGACGTCAAGCCCATGCTGATTGCTCTTCCCTGCCTCATGGCTCTCGCTACCGTCGTCTTTGCCTTTGAAGCCTGGAAGCTGTATGACGAGTTTGCCTGGACAATCTACAAGCGCATCAGCGCGGATACGCGCCTGAAAAAGCGCTATCTGACTTACCAGGTATTTAATTCCCCGACGGACGAACTCTGTCCGAGCGCCCTACTGACCCTTGCAGATTTATATTGCTCTTTTGAAGTTTGACTTCTTCTTTTTCCTGGCCTTCACCGTACAGTTTCTCGTCGTGGTTGAGAACACAAAGACGGTGGAACAAGCCCTTACCGCTGCCGCCCTCGTCATCACTTTCTTCCTTTTGTTCCTCGCTGGTTGGTGGGTCCGTCGCGAGTCTTTTGCCGGCATGATCAGCATCATCATTGTCTATTTTATTTCCATGGGTTACTTCCTGTTCAAGCTCATTCGAATGTGGGTTGCCGATGCTGGACGCCAGGAGGACTACAAGCCAGCCCGCAAGTCTCTGACTGCGTTTGCCATCCTCACCATTCTGCTACTCATATGCACCATTGTTACGGCATGTCTGTGCACGCACAACTTCAACAAGGGCCTCAAGCCTCACATCAACGACAAGGTTGTGCAAAACGACAAGCCATACAGCACGGAAATGCCATCGCTGAGTGGACCAGTCCCGTCGCAACGAATGGAGATTGATTAAGTCGCCTTTTCTACATACCCAATTTACGCGAAAAAAATTTACTAAATTACGACATGAATTCTTGGATACCCGCGTTTCGTGAGCACAGCTCTGATCATACCCAGACGAGATCAGCTGGCCTGGCGTTATTTCATCTTGGAATCTGCTTTGGGCGATAGGCGGTGAGATTGAGACACAGATGGACCTGGATGGGATCTGATGTCGTATCCAAGCACCACGTGTAATACTATGTCCGGGCCACTTTTGTTTTGTTTTGTTTTCCTTCTTCTTATTCTCTTTTTCCCACATGCAAGAACCGTTGTACAAGATAGGTCTCGCATTTTGTAACTAGTTGTCTGCTCATACTATACCCCACCATGAACAGACGAGTCGCGAAACTGAATTGAGTTATGATATTTTTCCAAACCTTACCCTGTGGCTTGAAGCCTAGACCGTGACAAAGTAGGGCCTTTTTGTAGTTGGTTGCGTAAAGAATTGTTCGCTCTGGAGAAGGGGGTGGAAATCAGGGGTCAAGCTAAGTTCCCCGACCGCCATGTGCGGCGCGGACCCTGCTGCACTACCGACATCATCGGTCCCGCAACCTGACCAAACTATCTTTCTCAATTGTCCGACTTTCTTTTTCCACACAACACAGCCATCTCCACTCTTCCAACTCTTGCGGTGTGTCGCCCTTGACCGCTTTATATATTCTTTGCATCTCCTCTTCTAAGCAAATACATTGCACACCTTTCTCAAAATGGCGTTCCGTTGGTATGTCGCACTCAAATAATCGGTCAACAGTCAAGGAAGTCGATGCTGATCGCGATGCCAGGTACCAATCGAAGCTGAGGACATCACCGCTCCTGACGCAGAGTATCACTACTGCGGTACGCATTCTCTTATCCCTTGACGTCTCGATCCTCAATCCATGTCCTTTTGCACCCACGCACAACACATAAACGATAAGGCCAGAACGTGTGTCAAAAAGCCCTGTTCTCAGGAACCAGGCTTAGGATTGGATTGAGGGGGATAGATGAAGGCATTGAACAATGCTGACATACGATAGGTGCTCTTTGCAACGGGCGACACAATGGCACAGCAGGGTGTAGAAAGGAGAGGTCTTGACAAACACGACCTGGCGCGGACGGGTCGTATGGCCGCCTATGGAGGATGTATGTCACTCACTCTGTCTTGTTCGAGGACACGATGTTTCTTTTTCCAACATAAGCTCCATCTATCGGTTTGCTAATAATCTTTTCGCAGGCATCTTCGGTCCCGCAGCCACAAAATGGTTCGGTTTCCTTGTGAGCCGTGTAAACCTGCCATCCAAGAACGGTACCATTATTGCGCGCGTCGCCTGCGATCAGTTCCTCTTTGCACCCGTCAACATGACGGTCTTCTTGTCCAGCATGGCCTACATGGAGGGCAACTCACCCACGCAGCGTCTCAAGGACGCCTTCGTGCCTGGATACCAAAAGAACTTGATGATCTGGCCCTGGGTCCAGTTTGTCAACTTCAAGTATGTCCCTGCTGAGATGAGGGTCTTGGTCGTCAACATTATCTCGCTTGGTAAGTCACACATACCCCCTTTTCACTCTTTTTCCTAGCGGATGGACTCGAGGCTAACACAAGGGGTTTCTAATAGGATGGAACTGCTACCTCAGCTACCTCAACTCTGCCGGTGGCAAGAAGCCCGCTCTTCCAGTTGGTGAGACCAAGGAAGGTGGTCAATTACCTCCTTCATAGAAGGAAAAGCCACACTTTGAGAAAGTGGGTGCCATAATGCATACATAGATTTTTAGTTGGGGGTTTGGAAAATTGTAATTATGTCGTGAAATAAGGAAGACAAAAAGCGAGTTAGGGCAATTCTGTACAGGGATGATACCCGGATTTTATAGAATCGTGTCATTTTTAGTAGAGCGTGAATATCAAGAATCCCAAGTCGAAGGTTGCTTGTGCATTTGTTTGTTAAGTGAGCCGTTGTTGATCTTTTAAGATTTTCTCTCGTAGAACTGTTGTGTGCGAAATAGTCCGATCAATATTTTCCCAATAAATAGTTACTGTTACTTATTAGCTCTTTTATTCCTATTATCTCTCTCCTCTTCCCCACCCCCTTTTTTTTGGCAAAACACTTTAATAGAATATCCGGCCTCTGCAGAATATTTTAGCATTAAAACACTGATTTCCCTTTCGACTCCTAAGACGTAGAGTGGAGTTTTTTCTTTTCTTTTTGAGGTCTTAGTTACGAAGAATCGTTATTAATTTCTGGGTTGATGGTTGCCGTAGTATTTGTTTCTAGAACCAAAAAAAATAGTGTATATAACTAGCTCTTCTCGTGTAGCTCTTGTGAGGTAGTAGATTAATAATTATATCTTTACGCGACTAGGTAGTAATGTCGTGATCATCTGTGCGTAGTCTTCATTCTCAGTCATTCGGTCATATCCTCCTTTCACTTGTACCTCTCGAGCCTCCTCGTATATCTTGATTATCACATTACACTGATTTGACATGTCATCAGCGTACACAATGCAGTTTACCCTCCTCCACCTTTTTGGGCCTTTCCATAAATATGTAGTCATGTAAGATATTCATTCACGCATGCGTTACTGGGCATTGGAAACCGGGAATAGGGTGTGTGTGCAACTTCCCTCTAAGATTATATATATACATCTGACTGACATCCTTCGTAATCCATATAGCATATACCGTTTTCAAATCATCATTCCTCAAAAATAAAAATAAAATTGTAGACCGCATTCCCCCAATCAGCGGAAATCAGGTATCACAGATATATAGATGATAAACGAAAAAACACACACACTAGAGCATGTTAAATATCAAAAGGGGCACAAGCAATTCATATACGAATCCCCCCTTGTTCCTCAAACTACTCATATATCAATCAATAGGAAAAAAGAGAGTTGGATGATATTCTTTGTATACACTACACTACACTACACTATATATATTTTTTTAACCTTCTTCTTCACATCGGCACCAAAGATATAAACCTTGGTTCGGCCTGTCTCTCAATGTGTAAAAGATTAACTAATAGCATACTCAAGACTTGGACGTATGGACAAGGTGGTCAAGGACTTTAGCACATAGAGACACACGCATACACAAACACGCATACAACATACATATACACACTTCCTTCAGTCCAACCCAGATGGACTTACACAACCAGGAAAACTAGAGATAAAAACTAGAGATACCAAAATCCCCGCTCATATACTACTAAATAGAGACCAAGAACAAAAAAAGTGTTGTTTAAATCGAACTAAAGTAGTAGTAGTAGTAGTACCATAGGAAGATAGAGGTGATAAAAAAACGCCTGATTCTTATGCAAGACAAGAAAAAAATAATAAATTAGCCTCTGGCATGGGTCCATCCACAGTCAAAGATATGTTAAACCAGACAAAAAATCGGAAAAAAACGCGCTAAACAAATATCGAGGAAAAAAACCCCCCGCATTGCGTATGCGCGCGCGCGTGCGATAAGAGAGTTGAGACCAAAAAGCGAGGATAGAGTGAGTAAGAACACACTCCCTCTCCCCCCCCCCGAAAAAAAAGTGGCCCCTCGTGCACACACATGTAAAACTGGGGCGATCATGGTGGTGGTGTGTGTGTGTGTGTGGTATCCAGCAAACACGAGAGAGGAACATTTGAACAAGAGAAGAAAAAAAAAAGGCCAAACAAGAGTGGTGAGAACAAGAAAAAAGAAAAAGAAGAACCCCACCCGCCTTGTGCTCCCCAATTGCGCCTGGTTTGAACGCTCTAAGAAACACACACCATAGTTTCTGCCCAAGAAACAACATCTTTCTTGGGTCCGACCCCGCTTGTCCAGCACGCGTTGCGAAAAAGCGACTGCCCACACATCTTCTTGCTCTCAGGGAAGGCAAACAAGTCTTATCCAACAGCCTCACCAGCCCAATGCCAATCAAATGGTTTTGTCTTGCTGCACATTGTTGCAAAAAAAAAGAAAGAACTTGACCTCAATTTCAATCAACGGCTACTCGTCCTCTGCTTGCCCATGCGCCTGAAGAAATCCATAACCTTCTTAGAGCTGCCAGAGCTTCCCTTGTTTGCAGAGCCCTGCTCGTCGTAAGCATCAGCAAAGCGTCTGCTCTTTTGCAGTACGCCCTTTCTCTGCTGTTGCTGGCTGAATTCGTCTCCTCCCATTCCTGCGGGGTAGGGGTTGGATGTGTTCCTTTGATTGAATTGCTGGGATGTTGACATGCGACCACGGCCGTTGGTTTCACTAGCATCTGAATCATCGCCAGGTTGCTGGTATGGACGGTTGCCCTTCGCAGCTGGGTGGGCTTCCTGGGGGTTGGGAAACTTCTCGTCAAACTCAGGAGCCGACTGGTTGTAGCCGTTGAAATGCGTCTGGTTTGGTGGTGCAGATGATGGACCAGCTGCATTCAGGTGCGGGTTCCTCCTGTCCTGGTGGCCATCGTAAAAGCCGGGCATGCTACTTCCCTGAGTACTCTGACTAGGAGACCTGGACAAACCGCCACGGCCAAAGCCCATACCTCCTGGACGCGAGCTAGCACGAGGGCGAGAGCTCGATGGGCGGCGCTCGTGCGAGGATTGAGAGGGCGCACTCTCTCGCTGAGAGGTAAAGGTCCTGGACAAGGACGATGGGATGAGGGAGAAGCGTCGCGACGGTTTCGGGTTGTCGCCATTGTTCGCGTTACTATTGCTGCTGTTGTTCTTCCTGGAAAAGCCAAATGAGGTACGACGGCTCGACTCCATGCTCGGCCTGGCGTTTGTGGTTGTACCTGTGATTGCACTGATGTTGTCATTAGAAATGGGCCCTGCCATGGATGTTGGGGGATAGCTCTTTTGCTTCCTATCATCAGGGTAACCATATGAACCTTGAGATGTCAGAGACGCTTTGGGGTCCTGAGTATATGAATTCTGGCGACCAGAGAACATGGATGTCATACGTCCAAGAGTCTCCGTCACAGTGTTGGAACGCCTGTGACTGCCCTTTGCGCCATGTGGTCCCATTTGTACCGACTGTGTTCGTTGCGCGCTTGGCTGGCCAATGTTGGGCGCCTCTGCAGCTTCCGAAGAATCGTGCTGTGGCTGTGCATAAGGTGTGGATATCGAGTATTGCTTGCCCTTAGGTTGCGAGAAGCGACCTTCGGCATTTGTTTGGGCCACAGTCGCAACAGATGGCTGTCCATACGAGTTTCCACGCGAGGGCAGCCTGGAAGCGCCGAGAGCACCACTCGTAGAGGGACGAGTAGCAGACGTGGGCGCATTTCCAAACGCTGAATAGTCCGACACAGATCGCTGAGGTTCTTGCTTCCTGGTTGAAGTCTGAACAGCGCCTGAGGAACGAGAAGGCCTGGCACCTGTAGCCGACTGGTATCCATCTGTGGGTGGTACCTCGGTTTCTTTTCCGCGTGGCTTGGGCACTGCTTCAGCAGGAGGAGAGGCCTCGCCGCGTGCAGTTTGCGAAGATGGCGCAACGTATTCGACTTGGACGGTTCGTCGCTTGGTATCGCGAGTAGCTTTGGGCTTGTCGGCGGGCTGGTTGATTGCTTCGCGTTTGGTCTGGAGTCCGCCGTGTGCGGACGACGAGGCAGCGTGTGATTTTGCTGGTTCACGGACGGAAGCGCTTCTTGCGAGGGCAGGTTGTGGTTCGAATGTGTCTTCTAGTACAACGTCAGCTGATGCGTCTTTTACCGAACCCAAGCATGAATATTTACTTGAGTAGACAGACGCCTGTTGGGCCTCGGCGGCAGGGGTGTTGCTCGAGGTGATGAAGCCGACCACATGGGCGTAGTCGGCTAACCAGCTGTGACGCGCGACTTCGAATAGGTCTGCTCGTTTGCGTGGGTCGGGTACAAGGATGCGCTTGAGGAGATCCCTTGCGTGGGGTGTTACGTATTCAGGGAATGTCAATGGTGTGGATACAATGTACTTGTAGAGCAGATTGATGTTGTCACCCTCGGGGTTCGCTGGGTCGTCGTCAAAAGGGAGGTAGCCGGCCAACATGGCATACTGTGTATTGTTAGTGTTTGCATTCATTGCATATGACCATAGTCGAAACGTACCAGAATGACACCACAACTCCATACATCCACCTTGCGACCGGTGTAGAGAGAGTCGCTGACTACCAGTTCTGGTGCCGCGTAACAGGGACTTCCGCAGCTGGTCTGCATGAGATCACCGCGTCGTGATGCGTCGCTGCCATCCAAGCCCAGTGACTTCATAAAGTCCTTGTCCCCTAACCTGTACTCGATCTCCTCGCTAAGCTCATCGTTGGGATCGAAGGTGTTTGCGAAACCAAAGTCGGTGATGATGATGTTCTTGTTGCGGTCAAGCAAAAGGTTCTCGAGCTTGAGATCTCGGTGGACGATGCCCTTGCGGTGTAGGTAGCCGACACCGGAGATGAGTTGTGAGAAGAGTTTCCGTGCCGGGCCATCCTTGAGGTAACGATGGTTTAAAATGTAGTCGAATAATTCTCCGCCTGATGCATATTCTAGAATAATGCCAATATGGCGCTCAGTCTCAACCATCTCGTGAAGGCGGACAATGTTGGGGTGGTCAAGTCCCCTGAGAATGTGGATTTCGCGGTAAATCTTCTGCAGTCTATTCGAGTTGCTGCCCAGGGTTTCGCGCCGTATGAGCTTGATGGCAACCTCAATGGGACTGTCTCGTTTCCATCCCATCTTGACCTTGCCAAACTCACCCTCGCCGAGCGTCTGACCGAGAATGTAGTTACCAAACTTGGATCGCTTCGCGTTCTCCGACTTGGAGTGGTCCTGCCGGCTTTTGCCGCCGGCCCCACGGCCGCCATCGTCGACACCCTCGCTGCCGACCAGACTGAGTCCTGTTATGGGGGTGAGGTCGGCAGCTGATGTGACGTGGGGGCCGTCACCCTGCCGTGCCTGTGCGCGAGCAATGTCTTCTTGGGTGTCGGAGACAACGATGCGGTTTATGACAGCACTTTCCTCGCGAGGAAGGCTTGTGTTGACAGGCGGCTGGCCAATTGCCGTTGCGGAGCGGCTATGAGCGGGCTGGGACCTGGCAGAGCCTCCTTGTTGCCGAGGACTGTCTTTTGCTCGGCGACGCGACTGTGAAGCATCGTCGCGTTGCTGGGACGAGGGAGCGGTGCCGTTGGAGGTGCTGCGGTGCGACGAGGTCCTGGGAGGAGCCATGGGGCCGCCGGCGGTCGTGGTGGTGGCAGACATGTTTTTGGTGGCCGGCGAGGAGTGGGAGGACTGGGGCATCGGTTGCGCGCGGGACGTGTTTAGGGCGGAGTCGTGAGTCTGGGGCGTGGAAGGCGTGTTTGGCGACGCGCCATTACTGGACCGTCGCGAGGGGCGGCGAGCGGTGGCCGACGAGGCAGCTGTGGTGGTGGCAGGCGATTGTTGTTGTTGTTGTTGTTGTTGCTGCTGCTGCTGTTGTTGATGGTACTGCTGACCGTAGGGCGGCTGCGATGCTACGGCGGCCATTATCTGGGGCGCAGGAGTCTGGGGGGTGGCGATGGCGTGTATGCAGCAGCGCAGACGGACTGGCGGGCTACGTTATCGGGCCCAGGTATGGGGGGAGGGCCAAGTGTGGGTGGGCGTGAACTGGCGGTGTTGAGCTGTCGAATGGGCGATGGCGGGGAGACAGGCGGGTTTAGTTTGCACCACCGACTGACTGTGCAGCGGGCCTGCACTGTAGCACTGTGGGTGGGCACACAGGGTGGGCGAGGGATGGGCAGCGGTGAAATTTGAAGCTGGGACCTGGGGCAGAGGGGGTCGCGCGTGTGTTGGGGACAGGAGGAGGGCTGTAGGGTCGACTGGCTGGGCAATGCCGTCGTGATGGTGGAGAGCGCGGTGTCGAGGGCGTCTGCTGGCGCGGTAGCCCCTTCACATGCGCGTGCAGACGTGCAGGGCAGGGCAGGTTGTGGGTGCGGGCGCGGGCGCGGGCTGCGAGGGAGTGGGCTGGTGTGGTGCAGCGTCGCTAATGGCTGACGGGGCGTGGGCTGGCGGTTGACGTTGACTTGAGCCTTTTGACGTCTTGGGCTTTTGGCCGTGGCTCTGGCGCGGACCTGTGGCTCTGACTCTGCCGTGGGCGCGTTCCCTCTCGACTCTCGACTCTCTCGACGCTCGACTCGCGGCCTTTTTCGGTGCACAACTCACTCGTTCGCGGTCGACAGCGCGACGGCGATTGACGTGCTGCTGCTGCTGCTGCTGCGGCGGCTGCGGCTGCGGCTGCTGACTGCTCTGTTGCTGGGCGGCGTGGGTGGGAGAGAGAAGGCGCGGCGGAGGTTGGTCTCGCTGGCAATTTCGGTAAAGGGCCATGGGCGTGGGAAAGGAGGCACCGCAGATGCACATCATTGACAGGGGGCCCTCATCAAACCAGCCCGCCAAAAGCATCGGCTGGTGGGCTGCTAGATGCTGCGACTACTGTACTTGCTGTAGGAATCGACGATGACCGACTGTTGCAGCAATGTCCATTCCATCCACATGGACATGCTGTATACATGTTAGTACGTATGCATGTACTCTACTTACTGCACTCGACTGGCCTGCACTCTAAGTACCGAACATGTATATCATCCCATGTATACTTGTACTGCATGTCCTCAGGCATACATGTACATACATACATGTACATATGTATACACACACATACAGTTTCTATACACATGTCAGTACATGGTCATGGCATCCGCCCACGAAACCTACCTTTTTCAGACACAACCTTTTCCCTCCCTCCCTCTCTTTCTCATTCTCATTCTCATTCTCCAAGCAAGCGCCATCCACGCCCTCGATACGCCCCAGGGCCGGCGCCATGGTGGCCCACAGTGTATTTCCTCTCATGGCCAAACTGGTCGGATGTGGCCTATACCGGGGGGTACCCATGGCTTGTTTCATCCACCCACCCCGGCGCGCGTAAATTGCCCGTTATGCGCTCGCCCGCCCGCCATCGTCGGCCTAGTCGCGAACTGCCACCCCTTCGGCGTAGCTGCCCTTCTCCATAGCTACTATAGCCTTCCGTCCTCAGCTCCTGCTCCTGCTCCTGCCTCAAATACATCCCTTGCCTCGACGTGCCGCTTGCAAGACCGCTCGCTGCATTTCATCCGGCCACCCATTCACCCTTTGCATCCACCTGACCGACGCCTATCTGCTCCCCTCGCACATGCATCCGTGGTTGGCTGCTGACCGTTGGGCCCCCATTTCGTTTCTTTTTGGTGTGCATGTCCGAGGGGAAGCATTTGAGTCGGGGCCGCAAAAGCAAACTCGCAATAAACATGCATTTCAACATCAACAATAACAAACACCCACCCGCCGCCGCAGTCACATGACCTGCATCGGAATCGGGCTTTGATGGTGATGATGCTGCCGCTGCTCTGTGGAGTAGAGTAGTGCTACAGTAAGTAATGTAATGTAATGTGCGCCGGGACACTTGCATCATTCAGCCCTAAACCTGGTCCCTGAGGCTCACATGATGATTCTCTCTCTGCCTGGCCCTCTTTTGCCGTAATATTTTACTTCCTCCAACCGCCGGCAGCCAAAACAGACAGGACAGATAGATGACGGAAAATGGGTGACATGCTGGTCATCATCCACACTGACACGCCTGTCACCGTGTCTCAGCCCACGCCCCAAGCGAGCGACGAAGCGCCCTGCATGCTAGTGCCATTCCACCCAATGCAGGACAAACCGACGGCGACCCCCAATCCCGCACTACTGACTCTTTGCCCACACGTGCACGGCGCCTCTCCCTGCATTTTTTCCCTATTTGTGTACCCATACACATGCCATGGACTGGATCAATTTCCATATTTCTGACAAATAACATCAACGCCCCATGTACAAATATACCGTGGATAACGAGCCCAATGCAGACTACAATCCATACCCGTTAAGGCCCGTCCTCGGAAATGAGCTTGCTGGCTCTCGATCGCCCTTGCCATAGCGAGACACAGAGAGGGACCCACCTTCCCGCTCCCACCGTTGCTCGACTTTTGCGCCATTCCCAACCTTTCCCTTACTCGCTTGGTTCAACACGAGGCTCCTGCCGCTTGCCCTCGACGTCACCACCCCTCCCAAATCCCATCACGGCTTCTCATTTCCTCCTTCTCATCGCCCCTCATTTCCGCTCTCTCTCACTCTCTCCGCCCCAGTCCTTTTGCGCCCTTCTCTTGCATGGGTTTACCCCCCATTCTTTGAAACATCTTGCCCCAGGTTTGATCATCAGACGTCATTTCAATTTCCGCTACACATTCAATACTATACTCGACACCCTGGACCACTTGATTCCACTACGCACCACGTACTTTTCTGTAATCTCAAACAATGGATTCCGCTACACACGCTTAATCTGCAAGCTCAATCACTTGATCCGTCCCACTCCCATCAGCACTAACCCCCCCCCCCCATCTAAATCTTCACCTCACTTGGAAGATTAATCTCCAGAATATCAACTCCCTTCTGCAATTCACTCTTGCTCGGCATCTTGCTCCTCCTCATCAGTTCGGCCGCCTGCGTCATATACGGGTCCTTCATCATGGATGCCACCGCCACAACAGTCTCCCCTTTGGTGTAGTAGGCAACAAACGACGGCTTCTCCAACTCTCCCTGTACCACCACATCATCGTACCCGCTCGCCATCGTGTTACCACAGTACCGCAGCTGAGACCCCAGTGCAGACCAAAACACTGGAATAAACGGCTTGGGCCTGCTTCCCGGGTTGTTGATTGTGTTCGCCACTGATCGACCCGCGTTCTGCGCCACATTCCAGTGCTCGATGCGCACCGGTGCCCCGTTACCACCAGGTCCATGGTAAGGGTACGTTGCAATGTCACCAATCGCGTACACATCACTCAGTCCCTCGACTGCAAATGACTCGTCCGTCTTCAGGGATCCGTCCTTCAAAAGCGTAATGCTCGAGTTATCCTTGAGGTACTCGGTAGCCGGCGCAACACCGACTCCCTCAATCACCAAGTCTGCCTCCAATACGGTGCCGTCCTTGAGTTGCACTGCCCCCACCTTGGATGCATCCGCTTTTGATGGAGTCGCCTTGTCCACGCCCGCGCTCAACTTGAACTTCACACCGTTCTTCTCAAGCAGGCCCTGGAAGATTGCGCCCACCTTCTTGCCCATTACTCGCTCCAGTGGCACTACCCTCCCGTCAGTATATCGCACAAGACCACATGCCTACATTACGTACCTTCTTCCATTCCAACAATGGTAACATCGTTCTTCATGCCTGCCAAGCAGTTGCCAACTTCCATGCCGATGAATGAGCTGCCAATCACGACAATCTTCTTTCCGTTGTCCCCAACGGCCTTGAGGATGTTTTGCACGTCTGGCAGAGTCCGAAGAAGGAAGACGTTGCCTAGATCGCCTTTGAGCCCTTCAACCGGGAGCCACCTCGGCGTGCCTCCAGTTGCCAACACAAGCTTGGTGTACTCGTATTCTTTTCCCGACTTTGTTGACACCTTCTTGCCAGAAAAGTCAACGCTCTTCGCTTCGTCCTCAATGATGTCAATAGATCCGTCCTTGTAGAAATCTTTTTGTCTCCACGCGAGCTTCGAGATATCAGCCAGTAGTGCCTTGGACAGCTTGGTTCGGTCGATGGGCTGATAACCTTCCTTTGAGATGACGGTAATCTTGCCAGTGTAGCCTCCGCCCCGAAGACCCTCAATGGCACCCAGTGTACCAGAGCCACCGCCAATGACAAGCACCTTGTCGTCGCTGACAGATGAGCACTTGATGTTCAAATGTCTCCGTTTTGCCTTTAGTGCCTCTTCCGTCGTCTTGACGTACACGGCACCGTCCTTCTCGATTACCTCATACTTGTCAATTGGGTCGAGGGCGGGTGCGTCTTCAACGTCTCCGGTCGAAACCTTGAAGCAAGCTGTCTTGTGTTAGCTCTATTCGTATAGGATCCGTCGCAGTGATACCTACCTCCGTGCCATGGGCATGTGAGACGGCCTTCGGGTGTCAATACGCCCTTGACCAATGGAGCTCCGTAGTGCGTGCAGTTCGGGCTGGTGGCATGAACTTGATCTTGGACCTTCAACAGGAGCACTTTTCCACCCTCAACACCCTCGACTTCGGCTTCTTTCTTCTCGCCATTCTTCATCTGTAGGGAAGTGACATCCTTGAGCTTGAACTCTTGCGCCATCGCTGCGGTTGATGACGTGAACGTGGATCTTTGTAATCGGGACGTTGGGCTGAAGTGGAGTTTGAGTGAGGTTCGTAGAGGCTGCAATGCCCTGAATAACTGCATCAACGGCTATAACTAGATTGTAGTGGAAGTAAGACTGTTGTCCATGGAGACACGTCGGGAGCATTCAGACCAATAGCGGGGAGCTCATTATTCATGATGTCACCGAATACGATGCGCTAAGCAGGTGTACCAGGGTTCTCTTAGAACTCGTTACCCCGCTCCAAGACTTCATTCACCTTCATTCGCGTTCAGAAGCTCAACAGTCGGGTTCTTGGCAAGAGACTCCTACGTATGTACATTCGGGTACCTAACTCGCCATGGCTGAATGGTTTCGCTTCTCGTAGTAGCGCCAGAGCGCGTCTCCGCCGGGTGGCTGTGGGGTGATATCCTCCCCACGTCACGCTCTCTATTGCATTATCGATTATCGCTTTTCGGCAGGCTTTTCGGCAGGACTCGTTAATCCGCGCTTCAATAGGTATCCCGCGGCTTTTGAACTCTTGAAGACAAGGTGTCGGGATAGAAAAAAGGAAAAAGAGGGAGCATCGAAATGGAAGATATGCAAGGGGCTAGCGCGGCGAGAGCCAACAGCCTTGCCTCTGATCGCGTGGCCTGAATAATCAGAGCCAGTTATTTTTCCTATATTTGTCATTTAGGCCCTTGCTCTTAGGATCACGAGCAAATGAGCGCGGTGCTTCCACGGAAAATGGTGTCGCGACGATAGTCACTGGTTGTTTTCCGACACCTCGCCGTCTTACGAAACACGATCACACCCTCCCGCATTCCACGTGCAAAAGAAATTCCCCGGCTAAACCACTAGGTTCAGCCGCACCCGTTTCTTTTCTTCACTCGCTATACTCTTTCTATGCTGCGATCAGTCCTTCATCTCAGACAATAAAGCAATAATCGCTATTGGATCTAATGCACTCTATGTGTTTTCATCATTCCACCCCACCGCCACAACCCGAATCCTACCAGAAAGCAATGACACTCTTCGAACTTGAACTTATGAAAGGTAGTGCTCCAGGCTTCTTTTGTAATTCTGTTAATCGATCGCCGATTCACATTGAGACATGGTGGTGCAGATACAGGCAAGTAACGGTACCAAATGGTGATAACATTAATCCTACCTCTAGCGTAGCCAGCTTAGCCAGCGTCGCCAGTGTAGACACACTCTATGCCTAGCGCGCTCGTCCACTGAGGCACAACCCTCGGGGACTGTAACAGCGGGAAGAGGGTAGGCGAACCAAATTCTGATCACATCAATGACCACACGACTACCACAGCTCGTCAATTGCACAGACACTATGAACTTCCGAGGCGTGACCACTGACCAGCACAGACGTAACTTTGCCTTTGACGCTACCCACCTCAGAACCACACTTGGTCGCAGCAGCGCTTACTCATGCAACATTGTCTACGCTGACATGAAGTTTTTTTTCGACCTAATCGTCATCCTTTATTCTCCGCAGACCGGTGCGTCTATTGAAACGGCCACAGACGGGCGGGGGCCATACACGGAGCTCAGCACTACACACCTTGAGAACCTATAGCTCTCGCCGTGGAAGCAAAAGCTTCTGCGAGCTTCGCTTAATGCGCATATTTGAATTCGTCACTCTGCAGGCTGGTTATTCTGTAAGGAGAACACTTAGATCCAGCTGCACCTTGCCTACGTCCTGCGATCGATCGAATGAGAAAGGTCGAGTTTGAGCTTTCAACGACGCTAAGAGTGCTCTTCAGTTAGGAAGACTGAACGTCCAATAAACGATGCACCCTCGCTACCATGGATGAGACGGTTATCAACTGGTATCCAGTTTTTCGCCCGTTCCTGAGCCATAAACAGAATATCGAGTGGCTTGTAGGCAGAAAATAGTACGATCGTGTACCTTTCCGTCCCCCTGAAACAACATGGGTGCCGCATTCGGAGGGGTAGCCGTCAATTCCATGACTCAAGTTCTGTAGCGTTGTGGCGGCAGTTGCGTAGAGCCGTGTTTAGCCAGAGCAACAACCAACAATGGCATCATGTACAGATGGGACGAGTAGTCGCAAATTAACCGGAAGGGTTACATTGTTCTCAAGATCAAGAAAAACAACAAACGAGATTCCTGACCTTTGCCATTGTCTGCCCTAAGTCATGGGGAAAGCAAAATTGGGGGTTAGAAGGTTTGACGAGTGCGACGTTGGTTCAAACACTAGGGATCTTCAGACACCAACCGGAGGTGGGCCTAAGCACCGTGCGCTAATCGTCAATAAACTTTAGTCTCTCTCGCCGGACCCTACAAGATATGGACTAACCCGCGTCGCCCTGCATAGCGGTCTGCGTCGCAAAGACCTCTTTCGACTGACGATCTTCGTCCTTTCGTGCACAGCGATCCTGTCCAAGATTACGTTCGTTCATGGCCTTGCTTTTCCGACGTCAGTGTTCTTGACATAAAGACGCTTTCGTACCAACCGTATCTAACGGAAGTATTGGCGTGGCGCCCCATTCATTTACACAGTGTATATCCTTTTTTGTTCCCTCTTTTAATAGTAATGTCTACCACACTCGTTACCAGTCGAACACGACAATCGACTACTACGCCCACTTCAACGCGAAGAAGTATTGCTACATCTAGCACCAGCTCAACACCAAGACCAGGACCATCCACATCGACCACAACCACCACACCCACAACATCTTCATCGCCAACAAGCACATCACAAAGCAACCTGGCATCCGAATTCGCCACCAGTCAACTTGAAACGGATGACCGAAGTCCCAGCCCTACAGAAGCTTCACTTCAATCTAGTTCTCCCTACACCAACACCCCAGTCATCGCAACATGTTCTACGAACAGTGATTGTGCATACGACAAGATATGCTCCAATGAGAGATGTGTCACCATGGACAGTGCGGCTCCATTTGGAGGAGCCGATTCCAGCTCACGGCTAACCACTGGATCCGCTATTGGAATGGGAACAGGACTTGTTGCCCTTTTGATGCTGTTAACAGGAATCGCGGTCTGGATATTGAAACGTCGGGCACGGAGGCCTCGCAACCAGTCAATTGAAGCGCCCATACAATCTCGTAGCAGAACCACTTCCGATGCGACAGATCAAAAAACCCTGGTGGCGTCAATGCCGAATAGTCCCCAATACCCGCCCTTCAACTCTCAGAGTGCTATGAATCCGGGACTTTTCGCTAGGGTTGTAGTGCCTCAGGAAATCAAGGAGGTTGCAAGCAGCAGACATGGGTCAATGGACAGAAAGGCACTCCCGCTCCTTCCCCTTCCACAACTTCCCCTTCCGCCGGTACCAAAGGAGACCAAGATCTACGCACTCAACGTCAGTATCAACAAGAGCATGATCATGGACGAAGACATGATGCAAGCCGTGAGCCCGATGCGGGGCAACGATACTCCACGCGGTGGTGCAACGCCGCGTGATCGCGCACAGCGGTACAAGTTCGAAGAATATGTTCCACCTGCTGCCAATGCTCCTCCACCCATTGCAATTTCAAGAGCACCTGCTTCTGAATCCCAAAGTTCAGAGTACGAACTCGCGCAGTATCCGAAGAAGGAACAGCAGAGTGAGGCTGTCCCATTACCAGATGGGGGTCCAAACGGCGGACTAGAGCCGTTAAGTCCTGTCGTCGAGACGTTTACGAGCTCGGACAGCAAGGCGCGCCAACTCTCCTTGCCGGACCTTCCACCCCCTAGTCCAAGCTTCAGCTTCCGTTCATACGACTGGTACCAGGATATCATAGAAGAACCGTCAAATGGAAATGGTGCACGAACACCCACACAGGCCAAGTTTCCTCAGACGCTTTCACTTTTCCCTCGGAGTACGCCCAGAAACATGGACCTGGGCGTATTACCAGAGCCTTCTTCGCCCGGTGCATCTTCTATTGCATCAGGCACGCATTTACATCCAAGCTCGGCGGCCATGTTGAGCCCCACGAGCCCCAACTTTCGCTTATCACCAACTGTTTATACCCCGCCACCCCGGCAATCATCGCAACCACAACCACCACCGCAACCGCAACAACATGTACAAAAACAAAAGACGCAAACAAAGAGCTCATTACGAACATCGGCAGTCAGTGCTGTGAGTCACAAGACACGTGAATCCAGAAGCTGGCTCCCTGCTGAGGGACTTTACCTTGCCGACGAGGGCGGCCTTACTCGATATTTGACTTTCCGCAGAGGGAACGAAGACAGCAGACCAACAAGTTATTCACCTTTAGCATGAGCCAGCGAGTATACCGAGCGCAAACACGCGCTAGTTCTGTCTCTCTATTCTTCGTGGTCCGTAAGAAGACCTCGGCCGGCCTTGTTGGTTGATAAACCTCAGGCATTACCCTACCGCCGCGACATTGCCCAGCTACCTTGAGAGCGGAAAAGGTTCTCTCCCGAGCGCGTCTAACGCATGCGCAATACCGCACGCGCTTGTGTCCGACTTTGGACCAACGAGGGCACGGGAGAGTGTTGCGGCGCGGGAAGGAAGCGGGTCGCAAGGACGCTGAAAAGCATACCTTGTGCCCCAGGCGCGTTCAGACCAGGGATCATACATACGCAAAGCATACCCCCCTGTTGTAGAGCATTCAATACTCCCGTGCCCACGCACACTTATGTAATAATAATACCCAAAACGAATAAAGAAATTATTTTCAGTGCAACACATAGACTCTGCTTGGTGAAGGACTGTCAACGACGTGCTGTATGACAAGCTCTCTAAGCTTTGCACTTGGGACACTAGGGGGGCCCGATGTGGGGAAGCGATACGATACCCCACAAGTACACTGCATTGGGGAATCCGACTACAGAATGGTGGGCTGCCATGGTGGTGCGATGCAACGGGAACGATGGCTGAACCCATAATTCTTCCGGAAATTCTACCTACTCGTATTCCAGAAGACGCCATGCTGTGCGGATTGCAGAATGCCGTTCGGATGGGAATTCTACTTGAGCACGTCACGTGAGTCCTCGGCATCGGGACAAGAGTTACTAGCAACCTGTCGGCAAGCATTCTAGGTCTTTAGATACCACGTTCAAAGGAACACAGATGTATAGCACTCTATCATCCATGTCCTTGTATCTCAACATATACATTATGTATTCAATTATTTTAGTGGCGTCCTGGGCTTTCTCCTATGTATGCCACATCGAGCAGGTGCTGCGCGTATTCACCAATGAGCCTGCGAGGATGCTTTTTCACACCCAGCCACCCGCTCCAAGCTTCTTACCCGGAAGCTTCTGAAAATCATAGAGGCTGCGTCATGTTACACTTGAAAAGGTATTTCCCATCTCCGCACTTGTACTGTCTCCGCGAATAAAACACGCCCCGGTGGAATCCTATTCGTTCAATGTCGGGGCGGCACTCCATGTTTTCCCCGCACGCGCCTCGCTTATGCAAGCCCCATGCGCTTGCGTCCGGCTTGCATTTCCATGTTGCTCATCGTCACTCCAGACTACCTCATTGTAGGGAATTGCTCTATGCTCAATTGATACATAGTAGCTCGGATGGCTCAGCAAATCCTTCAACAACCACACAGCGATGACTATAAAGAGACGACATGGCCGCCATGGGGCACTGGGAATCTCCAGGCAGCTCTTGACCGGTTCAGCACCGCCATCATGACGCACACGAGTTTCGTCCAGGCTTCTACTGTGCTGTCCTCTCTTCTCGCACTCACAGCTGGCCAAGCACCCACCACTTCTTCGAATGGTGGATGGAGCACTACGCTCGCTGGCACGCCCACCTCCTTCAACCCCGTCTTTACCATTCCTCCATCTGCCGACAAGGGCGTTCAACAGATCCCCAACATCTACGATGCTCAAGCTGTCGATGCGCAAGATGTTTGTCCTGGTTACACAGCATCAGACCTTCAGCAGAGTGATCGCGGCCTGACCGCCACATTGACCTTGGCTGGAAAGCCATGCAATGTTTACGGCACCGATATCCAGGAACTAGACTTGAAGGTCGAGTACCAGGCCAAGGGAAGGCTGTCAGTCAACATTGTACCAAAGCACATTGGTGCAAGCAACCAATCGCACTGGATTGTTCCCGAAGATCTCATTCCGCGTCCTCAGGTCGAGGAATCATCCGAGCAGGCTGATCTCAAGTTTAATTGTAAGTTGCTTGGAATTTATTTCATCAACTTTTTAATGTATATTTTATTAATATTGTATTGATTACGGCTAAGAAAATGAGCTGACAGGTATGCAGGGGGGAATGAGCCATCTTTTTGGTTCAATATTGAGCGTCGCTCGACCGGAGACGTCATATTCACAACCCAAGACACCAAACTCATTTACGAGAATCAGTTTGTTGAGTTTGTAAACAACCTGCCAGAGGACTACAACCTCTACGGCCTGGGCGAACGAATTCACGGTCTTCGTCTCAACAATAACTTCACTGCGACCATCTATGCTGCTGACGTAGGTGATCCTATCGACCGCAACCTGTACGGCAGCCATCCTTTTTACCTCGAGACCCGGTACTTTGAGAAGGGTGAGAGCCGTAGCACCAAGCCCTTGACGCAGTCCGAGATCGCTCAGAAGAAAGATGCCAAAACCAATGGTTCGCCCTACGAGTCGCGTTCTCACGGCGTTTATTACCGGAACACCCATGGTATGGACGTAGTGATGAAGCCCGATCACCTAACTTGGAGGACCTTGGGAGGTGCTATTGATCTGTACTTCTTCGATGGGCCTTCGCAGCCGGACGTTACTAAAGCGTATCAAAAGGCGGCTATTGGCCTGCCAGCAATGCAGCAATACTGGACCTTTGGCTTTCATCAATGCCGTTGGGGTTACCGCAACTGGACCGAGACTCGAGAAATTGTTGAGACTATGAGAGCTTTCAACATCCCAATGGGTGAGTCCGCTCCTAACGAATGTTTGACAAGTGTTGTTGCAAACTTGCTAATCGTTTTGCAGAAACCATCTGGCTCGACATTGACTACATGGACCAGTACCGTGACTTTACGCTGGATCCCGTGACTTTCCCTCCCTCTGACGTGGCTGAATTCTTTGGATGGCTGCATGGAAACAACCAGCATTTCGTACCCATCGTTGATGCAGCTATCTACATTCCCAACCCACAAAACGCAAGCGATGCATATGACACATATACGCGTGGCAACGAATCTGGCGTATTCTTGTCCAACCCAGACGGCAGCCAATATATCGGTGCTGTTTGGCCTGGGTATACTGTTTTCCCTGATTGGTTGTCGCCCAACGGTGTATCGTGGTGGGTAAAGGAGATGGTTGAGTGGTACAAAGAGGTGCCATACAGCGGTTTCTGGGTTGACATGACCGAAGTCTCTTCTTTCTGCGTCGGATCTTGCGGTACTGGCAACGTCACCCTGAACCCGGCTCATCCGCCCTTCTCGCTTCCCGGTGAGGTCAACAACGTCATCTACGATTACCCGGAGAGCTTCAACATCACAAATGGTACCGAGGCGGCGTCCGCTTCTGCAGCAGCTTCCGCCCAAGAGTCCAGAAAGGCAAGTGCGACGGCGACAGTGACCGACGAAGTGACTTCTACTTCGACAAGCTACTTCCGCTCGACCCCTACCGCTGGGGAGCGAAACATCAACTATCCTCCTTATGTCATCAACCACGTACAAGACGGCGCTGATCTTGCTGTTCATGCTGTCAGCCCCAATGCAACCCACGCGAATGGCGTAGAAGAATACGATGTCCACAACCTCTTCGGTCACCAGATTATCAATGCTACTTACCAAGGTCTCCTTTCGGTGTTCCCTGGAAAGCGTCCCTTTATCATTGGACGTTCCACATTTGCTGGCAGCGGCAAGTGGGCTGGTCATTGGGGCGGCGATAACGCGTCTAAATGGGCCTACATGTTCTTCTCGATTCCACAAGCATTGTCCTTTTCACTATTCGGTATTCCGATGTTTGGTGTCGACACCTGTGGATTCAACGGAAACACCGACATGGAGCTTTGCTCTCGATGGATGCAGCTTTCGGCCTTTTTCCCCTTCTACCGCAACCACAACGTACTCTCAGCCATCCCCCAAGAGCCCTACCGATGGGAGGCTGTGGCTTCTGCTTCAAGGACCGCAATGCACATCCGTTACTCTCTGTTGCCGTACATGTACACGCTATTCAATGACGCCCACAAGACTGGGTCAACTGTGATGCGGGCGCTGGCTTGGGAATTCCCCAACGAGCCCCAACTCGCTGGTGTGGATACACAGTTCTTGCTTGGACCAAACATCCTAGTCACACCTGTACTCGAGCCTCAAGTCGATACTGTTAAGGGAGTATTTCCTGGTATCGTTGACGGCGAGACCTGGTTTGACTGGTATTCTGGCGAGCGTGTCCAGGCTGAGGCTGGCGTAAACACGACCATCTCTGCACCTTTGGGCCATATCCCTGTATATATTCGCGGAGGTTCGGTCCTGCCTATTCAGGAGCCTGGATACACGACAACCGAGTCCCGCCAGAACCCCTGGGGTCTCATTGTCGCACTCTCTGGCGAAGGCGCCGCATCTGGTCACCTATACGTTGACGACGGTGAATCTATCGAGCCAGAGTCGTGCCTCGATGTTACGTTTGCTGCTACGAGCGGAAAGTTGGAGGTTGATGTTCAAGGCGAATTCAAGGACACCAACGCGCTTGCCAACGTGACAGTGTTGGGAGCCCCTGAGGTCCAACACGTCAAGCTGAATGGTGAGGTGGTCGATGCTAGCAACGTTGATTACAACAAGACCAGTAGCGTTTTGAAGCTGACGGGCCTCAATGAGTTGACAAGTGCTGGAGCTTGGCATGGTAGCTGGACGTTGACTTGGGAATAAGCAACAAGTGAGTAGTTAGTATATACATTAATGAGACCATAGTATGATCTTATTTAATCCTCGGTCCACAAATTTAATACAGCAGTATCAAAACATCTAGCCAAATGGAATCGTGATTCAGTCCATGTGATAATATTGTATTTGTTTTGCTGTCGTAGTAGTACGCGTATTCCAAGTTTTGAACCGCGGAGACGTGACGAATGACGTCAGAGTCGACATCGCACTTTAGATGATGGCATACCTCTTTCCAGTCCGCATGCGATTCCCACGATGGCATTTCTATAATATCTATAAAAAATTTCTCACACAATACAAGAGACTGAAACCTCTTCCACATAGTGTGCCGCCCCCGTGACGATGCCACCCAAGAAGCTGAACCAGCAGACTCCTTCTGTCCCCGAAGACGAGCTCAAGAACATCGCCGCCAAATCAGACAGTCCCGAAGACAAATTAAAACAAGCAGCCGCGAGCGCCGAATCCGCCCTCGCATCCGCCAAAACCGCATCTTCTCTCCGCGCCGCAGCTGAAACCATCAAAGATCCCGCCAAGCGCGAAAAGTACCTGCGCGATGCGTACGAGAAGGAGATTGAGGCCCATGGAAACAGCAAGAAGGCGCGGATGCTGAGTTCGGGTGCGTTCCAGGGGAGTATGGGCGGTGGGGGCATTGGCATGGCTGTTGGAGCCGGACTAGGCACGGTTGTAGGGACGCTTGTGGGAACTGTTGCGACAATTCCTACGACGGCGGTAGGGACGCTTGTTGGAGCTGGAGTTGGTGGCGTACATGGGCCGTGGATCAAACTTGGGGGCAAGAAGGGGGAAGGAAAGGATGGTGATGGCAAAGATAAGAAAACGGAGGGGGAGGGTGAAGAGGACGAAAAGAAAATAGAAGAAGAGATGAAAGAGCGGATTCATGGGGAAGAAGATGGTATACCGGATCCTGAGGCGTTGAGACGGGCTGCGGAGGAGATTGAGAGGCAGAGGAAGGAGGGAGGGGGGGATGGGGCAGTGAAGGAGAAGAAGAAGCCGAGGAAGTTGGAGGTTAGGAGTAAGGCTGCTGCGTAGTATGGGGCAAAGTATGGAAAGAGAAAGGATGGAAGTGGTACTACTGGTGGTTTACAAAACTCGATTCTGAACTTGCCTGTTTGTGCAAGGCTGAATCAAAGCCTCTGACTGAGGGGTATGGAGATACGCCTGGTGTTTATTTTGTGGAGCATGTTCTCGGCGTTATGAAGGAATAAGGAGCGGTTGATATAGTATGCATTTGGGCTTTGAATATCAATCCCCGACCCCCCCAAAGAGAGCCATAAAAGCTCTTAACCGGAAAACTTGCCTGAAAACTATTATTCAATTTTTTTGTTAGATCTTAAAGTACATGCGGTAAAGAGAGGCGAGGTTGACTGGAGCTAATGCGAGTGTATCGATGAGGGACGAGACTGAGTATGTGTTGTTCGGGTTAAGACGGAAGATCGGCACAACTACTGTGTCACTTTCTCTCCTAAGCCAAGGGGCAACGCCGTGAATCATTGACTCTATAAAATAACCCTCCGCCAAGATGAGGGACTCCGGGCTGTTGTGAGACGGGTGTGCATGTTTTAGGATACAACGCCCAGTTCTCTTCTGGATGGGTAACATCAAATAAATGCTTAATCGGTCGATTTCAAGGAACTCGGGTTTGATTTCTAGAATTCAAGCTGGATATTCAAACCCGAAAGCATACCTCCTTGTCGTCCGCAGACTCGTTTGCCAAGGACATCGATGCACATATCCCCATCGGCAGCCTGACCGGATCATAAACAGTAACCCAAAAGGTAGAAGGACAACACGCCTTTTTGGAACATCAACATTCAAACTTTAAACCTCTGTCGTACAAATTTACATTCCCTCAATACTGGGGTCAAAAAATGTCAGTTAGCATACTTGGCAGGACAAACAAATACGCTTATAAAAGGAGCAATACGCAGCGTGTCGCAGAACGAAAAAAAAACATCAGACACAATCAAGCTCTACTTACTCATATATCTTTTTCTTTCCAAAAAAACCATTCTTCACCCATCCAACACCGCCAACCCCCCACTTCCTTATCCACCATGAAACCTACCACCCTCCTCTTCCTGCTCGCTAGCACATCATCCGCCTGGATTGTCAAAAACTGCAGAGGCAACCTCCAGCACAACTGGTCCGCCGGGCGCTGCTACAACTACGATGTCGGAACGAGTCTCATGTACCAGAGCAACAATAAGTGCCAGATTACGTTTTATGAAAGCGATGATTTTACCGGTGTGGGGTGGGGGTCGAAGAGTCAGGATAAGTGTCTTGGGTTGCCCGGGAATGTGAGGATTAGGGGGGTTAGGTGGGATGAGTAGTTTGTATCATTGAATTTTGAGGGGATTTGTTGGGCAAAGGGTATTGTAGTGGGTGATTGGATCTTTGGAGATGATTGAAAGTTGTTCCATGTGATTCTTCTTGTTGAAATTGTGATGGAATAGAAACTTAGGAATTGAGATGCAGAAGATAGAAGAATTGCGGTTTTGCTCTTCTGAGCGAGAAGTGTCCATATGACCTCGGCAAACTGACGTTATTCCAGCTACCCCCCCCCATGCCTCAAGTACTAACGTGAGTGTGAACTTGAAGCATTCTGTTTACTCATGTCCCAATGGGTCCGACATAATCTTGGGAGGGCCGGCTGGCATTCGCACCAGGAACCTGCGAGATATCAGCAATCAGCACAAGATAATAATTTCCACGAGAGAACATGGCCTGGACTGACATTGAAAATAATGGCGTAAGGATCCCACGAAGAATCAAGATGTGGAGCATATTCGATACCATTCGTTTGCTGATTAACAGGCCCTTCAGCTCCATAAACATGGGACAACCACGCATAGGTCATGTCCAAGCTGGCCATCATGCCTGAAGCAGTCCAGAACTTGCCATCAACAACCCACCGAGCCTGTGGCACCCAGTTGACCTCTGGGCCATAGCCCACGATCCACTGATACCCGCTCTTATTGGTCGTTGCGCGTTTGCTATTGAGGAGGCCCGACCGCGCCAGATGCGTGACTCCAAACGAGAGCCCGAGAATATATTCAGCCTGGTCGGCACGTCGAACGAGAAATTCCTCGATCTCGGTCCTGTTACTCAAGGTCGCGTTTATGACGCCCGTGCCACCGGGAACCAGAATGACATCGAGAGCTGGTGCGTCGGCAAACGTATGGGTAACTGCTGTTTCTGCGCCTAGTGTGCTGCTGAAATCGCCCCCGAGGTGTGGCTGGAGTCGCGCACTGACGGTGCCTTTGACGGGACCCTTTTGGTATGAAATGATGGACAGGGTCATCTTGTAGAAGGCTGACAACTGTGTGGGCGGTCAGTGATGATGCAGCTTGCACACGGGCGGATTACTTACAGTTGTTAGGTATTCAAGTGGTCCCCAGACCTCAATGGGCTCGAAGCCATCGAAGATGATCTAGGAAAAAAGTCAGTCGCAGTGGTTTTGATCCTTGAACAGGAGGGGCAGGCGGTGAGTGACGTACAATACCGATACTCAGGGTTCTGTTCTTGTTGGACTCATGGTCTGAGGTATTCTGGCCGACAGTAAAAGGTACTAGAAGGAGAGACCAGAGGCAAAGAGCCTTGGCAAGCTGTGTGAATATCATAATCGAGCAATGTTACTGAGGCCCATATATGTGTATAGAATGGAATGATGGAAGAACTAGACGACACGTTGGTCGCAGTGAATGTTTTTATTCAGTAAGATTCGACCTCATCTCGCCGTCTCTCCAGCTTCAGCCTAGCTGCAGGAATCGAAGGATGCAGAGTCAATCCCATCAACCAGGCGGCGAGATGTGGCGCTGGCGACGACGAGCAATCTCATCCACATTAGTAACGGGCTAATGCTACGCGGTGATGTACATGTGGATTTACCCATCAGGAGTACAAACCGTTGGAAAAGGCGTATTTCGGGGCGAAACCAGGCGCATGCATGTGTGAGGCAGTTTGAGCAAGTTGCCCCTTACAGGTTAGTACGTGCTACGGGCTTTGTTTTGACCCCCTGCAGTCTCGCCTCCTACAAAGATCCCACAGACGAAGCGATCCAACCATTTGCGAGGGACACTTCTCGTTTATAGAGTAGCTATCTCCGGCGTCGCCGTTGTGTACTTTTGTACATGTTCTGACAATTGCCGGCTCTCGCATAGATGCTCCCGGCACGTAGTAGACTAGCCTACATACATAGTACTATTAGTATTACCACCCGAAGTCCCTGCTTACCATTACTAGTACTATGCAACGGGCCCGTGTAACGGCTACCCACTAGCCATCAGCCACGCAACCGCACCAGACATCTTAAACTTAATCCCAACCTCTCTACAATCTCATTATAGGCTTAGGAATTACCTATACCACTATGAAAGTCATGGAAAAGCAGTACACCAACCCGGAAGTCAGGATTGGACGACGGTAAGGCGTACAAGCGACATGTTTGGAGTATGCGCCACTTCATTAAAATATAGTGTCTTATGTACAGAGAACAAATGAAACATCCTGGGCAACTACCACATCAGAATCACATTCAAGAAGGGCGCTCCAATTTTGTAAGCACTTGATTCACATACGGCATGCTGCATCTCCTTACCACCGTGTTATATCCCTTTGGCCAATCTGACCCAGACAGTAGATGAAAAGTATATGTCAACTCATCTAGATTTGATTGTAAAAAAGCATATTCACCATTCACTGAGACCGTGAACGCACGTACTTAGAGTGACGAGTGACTGTGAAGATGAGGTCCCCACAGGAACAAAGAACGTATTTTCCACATAAAAGCCATGGCAGCACATCCTCCGCTCGGATACCAGTACACGCAACAAATCAACTTCCACGCCATGGACTCCATCGCCAGCAAATGCGAGTCGAGCGCCTTCACATTGCCCAGTGTCTATGGCGCTGAGTTCCAGAGCATTGCGGCTTCACTAGTTGAGAATCACTCCACCTTCGTGCCGTACTCCAACAATCCAAACTCTGGCGATGTCGATGCGCAAAACTTGCAGTTCTGCAATGTCACCATCACTCATACACATCCAGGCACCAACGACAAGGTCACAACTAAAATTCTCCTACCTATAAAACCGATCTGGAATCACCGCCTTCAAGGTATCGGTGGCGGAGGCTGGGTAGCAGGTCTGCACCCAGTCATTGACGAACGCATGTATGCAGGCCTTGCGGGAGGATACGCGACAGTGGCTACGGATGCTGGTGTTCCAATATCAAACATCGCTGATGACTGGGCATTATTGAGTCCTGGAAACGTCAATCTCTATGCGCTCCAAAACTTTGCATCTGTTTCCATCAGCGATGCCACGCTGGCCGCGAAAAGTATCGTCAAGGATTTTTACGGCACGGCCCCAAAGTACTCGTACTTTAGCGGGTGTTCGCAGGGAGGGCGGCAAGGCATCATGGCTGCGCAAAGATATCCCGACTTGTATGATGGAATTGCGGCTGCTGCACCTGCGATATACTACTCACAGCTCTTCATCTCAGCATACTACCCACAACAGGTCATGAGTGAGATGGGCAAATATCCTCGTCCATGTGAACTCGATGCACTCACTACCGCTGCTATCAAAGCCTGCGACGGCCATGATGGCGCCCTGGACGGACTCATCTCCAACCCAGACGCTTGCCAGTTTAACCCTTACTCCATGGTCGGAAAGACGATTGACTGCCCGGGTGCTACTGGGTCCACAGTCAGCATTTCAGAAACCGCAGCCAAGGTCGCCGAAGCAGCATGGAGCGGCACCCGCGCAAGCGACGGCTCGCAACTTTGGTATTCGTACGGCTTCGAGACCAATCTCACCGCCGAGGAATGTCCTGCGCAGACGACTTGCTCGGCAAATGGAACTTGCACCGCTGTACCCCGAACCACGTGGACCGACTGGATCAGGTTGTTTGTAAAGAAGGACGCCAAGTTCAATGCGCGTACCATGTCGAGAAAAGACTACGAACAAGTCTTTCTCCAGGGAATTCGAGAGTTCGACTCGATAATCGGGACTGGCGATCCGGATCTGCGGGATTTTCACCGTGCTGGCGGGAAAATGATTACGTATCACGGAATGGTGAGTTCGTTAATAGTTTGTTTTTTCAAGCAAAAAGAATCTTGGATGCACTGGTACTAAAGTAAGAAATAGGCGGACAACGGTATTCCATTCCGCAACACAAGACACTACTATGACGCCGTGAAAGAAATCTCGCCTGACGTCCACGACTTCTTCCGACTATTCGAAGCTCCAGGATTGAGCCACTGCACGGGAGGAGCTGGTGGGCAGCCTCTGGGTGTTATGGACGCGCTTGTGAACTGGGTTGAGCAGGGTGTCGCTCCTGATTCTTTGGATGCTGTCAATACGTTCAACAAGACGAACTTGCTGTGTCCCTACCCTCAAAGGGCGGTTGGGAATGCTTCTTTGGGGGTTTCGGTCAGTGGTGGCCAGAGCTGTAGGTAGAGTACAGAAATATACGACGCTCTAGAATCTCTATTCTGATCGGTATTCATGGCTCACAATTGTGATTTTTAATGTATTGCACCCATATGCAGGATTAAGCACGGTTAAGTGTGTTAAAACTCATGCTTGTTATTATTCTTGATTCATCCAAACCCCCTTCAATCTTTTTCAAACGCAATCCATCAACGTCTATTCCACCCAGCTACTCATTACCGCTCGTCCGGAAAGAAATCTAGTTGTCGCACCTAAACCCACGTATCAGTACACCATTTTACAAAAGCCAGGGAAAAGAAAGGCTGGTATAACATACAACTTTCGCTTGTTACCAGTAAGCGTGCTAATGCACTCCGGGTCCCAACCAGCTGTAGCTCCATTGCAGTACGAGGGGCAAGCATCTCGTCCCTTGCTACTGAAGATAACCTATTCGAGAATGAGTATCAGTACCTCTAGTGAATGAAAGGAAGTTGTTTGGAAGGTCAAAACTTACACAGCAGTGGGATCCATCGGTGTACTTGCACTGGAAGTAACCTTGGCAGGCCTCGGTTGAGACGAGGAGGGCTAGGAAGTTGGCGGCGAGGGAGATGATGCGGACCATTTTGAACTTTTGTGCGAAGTATTAAGAATATGAAAGGTGTAGAAGCGGATTGGTGTGCTTGTTCAAGTTATGATTCTGGGTGCTGGATAGGAAAGAGCGGATGGAGTCTTTGCTTTTATACATGAGGATATAACAGTTTAGGCGGTATGTAGAAAGTAATGATAGATGTGCTAGGAGGATTTCCGGAACCTCGCCGTGGTTAAGTCTAGTCAGGGTTGCTAGCATGATTCGCGCCGTTGCAAGCCTGTGCTTTGATTTTAGCTGTTGTGAAGGTATCGCTACATGTTGTAACATTGATTGTATCTTGATTCCTTCTTGATACAATCGTTCTAAATTGGACGCTCCATGTTTGATGTCGCTTAGACAGCCACTTCGCGTTCTTCAAGCTTAGATCATGCTGCATCAATAGTTAAGGCGAACTTTCTAACACATCAAGTTTTTTTGTTGTATCCGTATCCTCGTATATTCAATTTTTTTTCTCAAGTGAAGGTACAGATTAGGTCACGGTGCTATTGGGGCCATTACTACTCATTTGGTGGATGCAAAATCCCGACACTCGACACGTGCTATTTCTACTGACTAGAACTCGACGCATGGACTTTGTAGTCTCCGTTGGTTGCCCACCTTGAATTTTTCCGATCAATCGCATCAGGTGCTATAGCGGAAGATCCAGATGTTGATTGTGATGGTCGCCAGGCAAACCTTCTCTGCTCGGTGAAATAGGGTCGATTATTAGTTGACATTAGCAACTGTTGCCTGGGCCTGTGTTCCGCTGCAGTAATGTGTCGCATGCGTGTATACTGAACCGTGTAGCAAAAATGATTGTGTATCTAACTTTGGAAGCGCTTCTGGGCTTACTTTACGTGTCGTTATTGCGGTGTCTCTGATGTCGCAACAGGTTAGCTGCAAATACTACTGCTGTCGCAATTGCAATTGCTTAGGGAGGCTTGAGCACGAATGACAAGCGAAGCTTAAGGTCTAGCCTTGTGCTGCGCATAAAATAGCACACACCGTTTCACAATTCATTGCCATTTTTCTTTCTTGTTCTTCTTCGGAGACCGAAGGTATGGTTGTTTTGGTAGGTAGGGCGAGCGCTGCCGTATTGCAGTCATGTAGTGTGCGCTCCTTATCGTCAACCTCCCCACTAATAATTTTCTAGAATTGCGTCAAAACGGACCCAATCCAAGCTGCAATTGGAGGAACAAATACTTTACGGCCGAAAAACCCATTCCTTAGATCTTTTTAATCATTAATCCTTAACATCATATACTTAGTACATAATGTAAGGCGTGCCTTTAGTACGGACTCTTTGCCTCTAGCTGCTCGTACGGAAAGTAAATTTCTATTACTTTTTCTATCTACTCTAGCTTATATTCTAGCTCTTTCCTAAGCTAGTCTACAAGCTCGTTTTTCAGCTTATTTTTTACCTAGTTTTCTAGTGTTTGTTAGGTGACTAGGCGCTATCTGAAAACAGAGATTCCTAATATCCTATTACGGATAAGGCTAATTAGTGCAGAGGTTCTTAGAGATAATTAAATAGCGCGTCTTCTTGCACGAAAACCCT